TTTAACACCCTTGATACAACCTACTCAATACTTCCCTCATTGTCTTCACAAACTTAATCACATGTAGTCAAAACGAGCGTAGCTTAGCGGTAATTGACATATATCTACAATCGAAAGGTTGTGAATTCAATTCTCCATCTCACGTGTTGTNAGGTGGCCTTAATGCACATAAACAGTATGAGAAGTCCACGTTTAAAGTAGAAGAGGGGATTTTTTTTTTCCTATGATATAATCCGAGATGGAGATTATGATACGTGTGGAAGAATTTAACCATTTAAATGGAGATTTGAAAGGTAAATGGGAAATAATCCTAATGAGAAACTCCATCCCCTTAAAAATTAGGAAAATACTCATCATTTTTTTTAAATTTATAATTTTGCATCTCTTTCTCACTTGTGAAATATTAGTAAAGACAAAATTAATACTCATCATTAAGAAGTCAAATATTATCTTAAAAATTAACGGAAAATTTCGTAGGAATAGAAAATTGAATGGGAGGCGAGGACGTAGATAAGGAAGCTATTCTCATCTCCACCTAGCTCACATAATATCTCTATTGAGATATGCTCGAATCGAAAAATACAAAAATAAAATAATTTTGAAAATTTTAGAAGCCTTAAAAATAAGATTTGGAGCCAATACTTTATTGGAAAAAAAAAAAAAAGGTGTGAATTTAGAAAACGAGTCAACTCGGTTGGGGGCAAGGAGATTTTGTGAAGCGTGAACCGTACACCGAGTCAAAGAGCGAGCGAGCGAACCTATCAAAGCTCCATCAAGTAGATGGTTCGAGTGGCTTTATTCTCCTTCCTTCGCCTAAGGCATAACCGTATTAAAAGAAGAAAAAATAAAAAATAAAACCCAATTATTATTTTGTTTTTACACGTGTCGCATTAGGGAAGGTTAGCTACGTTAGTGGGCCCCGCACTCTCTATTATCAAACTCATGGTGGGGCCATGCCTTCTGCAACGCCCATGGCATGGCCACTACACTATTGACAAAATGGAGAAAAAAACAAATTTATTGTTTTTTTTTATTATAATAATATCTTCTGAATTTTATTAAAATGGAAGTTTGAAAATGCAACCCCACTCTCGCTCCTCCCTTTTACTTTAAAAGGAGGAATGGAAAAAAACTTTGCTTTTTCAATTTTAGATTGAATTATATAAAATACTCCTCAATTTTAGAATAAGGTTTCGATAATATTTTTAAATTAAAGTTTGATTTTTACACTTAACATTTAAACTTGTTTCAAAAATCATCATTTCATCCCTTTTTTCACTAAAATTAATGTGACAATGGTGACTCGTACAATATTGATACATGTGGTAGGGATTTCAGGTTTTATTTATATTCCTAAAGTTTATGATATGTTTTAATATTATATCCATTTTGATTTTATCCTTATCATTGAAATTGTTTCAAAATAATTATTTCATTACCTTCGCTGCTTAAAATGAATATGGGAATATGACGTTGTGATGAGCTGTAGAAAAAAAAATCAAAGAGTCTTAGTCACATTTGAAATGACGTTATATAATTTGGGACATGGAAACAAATTTGGAGATTATGGTGAAATATTGTTTCTTCCTCTCTCAAACAATCAAAAGATAGGGGAACAACAAAATTGTTTCGAGGGGTAAGTAAACCACTCGGACATATAAATTTTAGGGTATTTTATCTCACAATCAATTGACGAAAATTAATGTTAGGGCATGAATGGAGGAGAGAAAAACAAAGAAATCCAATATAATTAAATCTAAAGATCATTACTTCTCGATAAATTTCTTACATTTGACCATTGAAAATTATTTTCCTTCATCGATCAATTTTGTTCTTTGTTTTGTTGTCCTAGCTTCATTAATCGAATATCCCACTCTTCCACAAATTTTCTCTCATAAAATTCTATCTTGATTCTTCTGTCCTTCCAAGTCAAAAAGCTATAGTTTTTACCGATGCATGACTTTTCTCATAGTATGCAGCTCCCCTTCATTTTAACAAAAACTCTATCTCTTAAATTTGTTTTCCCCTCAAATCGAGATAATATTGAATGTGATTAAAACCCTTATACTATTTTACGACTCATTGCCAAAGTACATTCACATGTAACTTTTATTTTTCAACTAATCACTACTTTATGTTTTTTTTTTTAAAAAAAAATTAATGGATAAGCTAATGAGATGGTTTCGAAACAATTTTAAATGTTAAGAGTTCAAATAAAACTTATAAAATGATACGGGCATAATTTAAGTCTACCCTAAATTCAGGGACATAATTGAAACTTGCCATCCATGCCACGTGTACCACTATTTACAAGTCACCTTCATGTCACTTTCCCTTCTTTATTTTAACACAAAAATTGACAGAATGATAATTTTGAAACAAGTTTAAAGTTTAAGGGTAAAAATAAAACTTTTGAAAATTTACGAGTATTATTTAAACCTACCTAAAATTTAGAAGCATTTTATATAGTTTAACCTTTCTCTCTTAAAAAAAAACTTTATTTTATTTATATAGTTTCAATAAAAAATTAGCTAAATATCACTGAATATATATTAAGATTATGTATACTTTTATTACAAATAATGTTTGTATTATTTATTAGTCAAATAATTATTTTTTTATAAATATTATATTATATTTATTGATATATAAGTTGTATTATGATTCAAATATGTGGGTATGAGTTCTAACTAAAAACTTTTTAAGTGAGATTATCCAAGTTTTAATTATGATTCTAACTAAAAACTTTTAAGTGAGATTATCCAAGTTTTTTTTTATGATTAAAATATGAGAGTGGGATTAGAAGTTTTTTTTTTTCTTTCTTTAGGATACAACAATATGAGCCCGGAGATCTTATATTCGGAGGTAAGTTTCTTAACTAATTGAATTAAGTTAAATTTGCAAGTGGGAGTTAGAAGTTAAACATTTAAGGAGATTACTGTTTATTAGTTGAGTTATATGGTTAGGTAAAAAAGTTTTCTTTTTAACATGTTAGGTAAAAAAGTTTAATGTACATATAAGTTATTTGATTAATAGAGAAATAAGTAACATAGGTAGGTACTTACAATAATGTAAACAATATTTAATACTGTTAAATAAAAAATAAAATAAAATACATGTAAGAATAAATAATATTGATAAAAAAAATATTAGATTACAAGTTTAGGTAAAAGGGAAGTTTAGTAAGTTTGTAAACCTTGAAAAGTATCTAATAGATTTGATATAAAAAAAATATATGTTTAATAGGTCTCTGAACTTTTAATTTTGTATATAAAAAGTTAGAACTTTTGATTTTATAAATGATAGGCCTTGAATTTTCAATTTTTTTTAATAAATTCCTATTTTTCAACATTTCTTTTAATAATTTACTGACTTGATGAATTGTGTGTTGGACTTATTAGAACCAAAATGAAATTTTAGGGAACAAATAGATATTAATTATCGTTGAACTATACTCACTTTGACTAATACATGACATGCAATCTTAAAAGATCATAAACTAAATTTTTAATTTAACCTTAAAGAATAAATATATATCTACGGAATCTCGTATTACTTTAATGTTACTTGAAGCGTAAGTCAACATGTATATTTGGTACAAGTATCCAGACGAAAATTGTAAATGTAGAAAAGTTCCCATATTTGAGGAGTTGCCTATGTGAATATCAAATTGTATTCTATTATCTTAATTAATTGAGTCTAAAACACAAGTATTCTAATTAATCATAAAGTTGGCTTAAAGGTGCCATTAAAACTATCGACAATGCATTTTTATATATATTTTTAATTTGACAAGGAGCCAAATCATAAATATAAAATCCATATTTTCTATGTGTTTGAAATCTACTTGTCAACGTTTGAGGAGACTTTTAATAAAGAAATTCAATCAAGACTTTCGGATCAATACAAGTATCGATAGTTCGACGTATGGTTGCTGAGCCGATCTACATTTGACCTATCGAGCGACCTGTGTCAGGTATGAGCTGACCTTAAAAAACATCAGCAAGTGCGAAGACGACAAGAATGTTTCCTGACAACACGCTGCGTTTCTGGAAATGTCGGAGAGCTATTAGAGCGTTTTTTGGAAAATAAAGACCCTTATCTCCCAAACAAGGTATGCTAAACTATTCTCATTTTGAGTAACAGATCGAATTGGGCACTAACATGTTCGTCAGCGTGCTAACCCTATTTTGTAGGTACTTCAGACTTCGACACACCTCATTTGAGTTTTGGGAATTCGGAATTTGATCATTTTCATAGTCCAACAATATGATGTTCCATATTCTTCCATCAATATCTAACAATTGAGGCAAAAAAAAAAAAGGCATATGATTTTTTTTCCCTTTTTCATTGTTTTTTAGTACACTATCAACCATGACTCTAAATATCAGTCGACATGTCGACATTTCCATCGATATATCCATGTTTTCATGAGTTCGACATATGAGGGGTGAATCAACATTTCCATCATAGTACAAGAAAATCAACAAAATATGAAAAATATCAACAAAATGCCACTAATACATACACAATACTAAAATTAATTATTTTTAACTAATTTAGAAATAGAGAAATGTTTATTTGTTAATTTAAATATTTTTTACTATTTTTTAATTTTTCTACATAAATATTAATCGACGTTGACATTTTATCTATATTGTCATCGATGTTTTCATGAAAGTGTCCACATTTAAAACCTTGGTTTCAACAAATTTTTCTAAAAAAAACGAAAAAAAAACTCTCTCAACCAAATTTTGAAAAAGAAACTAAATATATAAACGTAGATTATAAAGCAGAGAAAATTTCAATAAGCAAAAGTAATATTTGAAAATTTACATGAGCCAACGAACGTCGCCGTCCATTGCAACCGTTTCTGAAGATCCAACTGGACCGCCGATATAACCGTTTCCCGCGTTCGTTCTTCTTCCCTCTTTCTCTTTTCGCGAGCTTTTTTTTTTCCTTCTTTTTTCCTTCTTTTCTTGTTCTGGTTCACAAATGGTTCCTGCAAGATCAAGAGACCTGCAATACAAATTCATTTGTATTGCCTTCTCCTCCAAATCCTACAGGTATGTATCACACACATTTTCCTCAAGATAAAACGCTTCCAATTTCCCCCTCTCTCACATTCTTAGGGCTTTTCTCGCCCCCTGATTTCGCGCATTTAGCATATCAAAATTTAGAAATCCGAAATCGGAAATCCTTCGATCTCATCCCCGTTCGATGTTTTCTTTTTCTTTCGTGAAGGCATAATGGCCGCGATGAGGACGGCGACAATGGCTTTGGCAGCAATGATGCTGATTTTGGTTGCGGAAGGGACGGATACGAACGATGTATTCAGTCCATGTTTGGATGCGAAAGTTCAGAGATCAGATGGATTCACTTTTGGTGTAGCGTTTTCGTCGAAGGAATCGTTCTTTCAGGATCAGATTCAGTTTTCGCCATGTGATCGACGTCTCGGTTTGGCATCCAAAAACGCTCAGCTTGTTGTTTTCAGGCCTAGGGTCGACCAGCTCTCGCTCCTTACCATCAATAGCACCACCTTCAATCCGGTACGACTTTGATTCATCTCTCTTCATTTTAAAGCAAAATCCAAAAACTATTTTTCATCAATGAAAATTCATCTCTGTTTCTTCCCCTGTTTTTGTCAAGAACATGACTAAGCAAACAAAAATCGTGCCTCTGATAAGTCATAGACTTATTTGATAATTTTTTAAATTTACAAACATGTTAAACACAAAAATGGAAGGTAAATTCTATTAGATATAGAATTGAACTTGATGTCTAATAGATTTATGAGTTCTTTTTTAAATGCCAAATAGGCAGTTGGAGAACCTTTGATAACTATTAATTTTTAGTTCCTTATTTTTTAAAATTATGTTTATTGGCTTATAATTTCTTTTAGTGTGTTTTTTTTTTTACTATTTAGAGATAAAAAAAATATAGGATTCAAATAATAAGGCATGAATTCGAACTTAATACCCTTAAAATGTTAATAATCTCTTAACCAATTAAATTATACTTAAGTGGGGAATTTCTTAATCGAAAATTCTCGAGAATACTTTACAAACTATTTTTAGCCGTTTGATTAACAAAAATATGTAGTGCAACGATAAGAATTCATGATTGATAGATAAAATTGATGACAAGGCATTCAACTGGTGCTCTGCCAATTAAAAACAAAATTCCAACAAACTTTAATTAACTTGCTATAGGATGCTACCCTTTTATATAGCTCTAGTGATCACATTTGTAAACTTGGCACAAATTCAGAAAAAAAATAAGAATCCCAAAATCATACATATTAAAGAATAAAAAAATTTTATTGGTCAAATCGTGGGTGGATCACTAACTTTTTGAATGTTGAAATAATGAATTAATGGAAGATTTTGGTAGATAATTTTCATATATGAGAGTTTAATGTTCAGGAAAATCAGCCTAAGCAAGATTTTAGGAGATCAATTTCAATTAATTCCAAATCAATATGAATATAAATTTAGATCTCTTTTGGTCTTTTTATGTTAGTCCATAAACTTTTCTTGAATTTTTATAAAAAATCATTTTAGTCTTGTCACTAATTTTTTTTAATAAAATATTTAACATAAATCCAATATAGAAATAGTTTGGTTCGTTTGTCTAATGAGTAAATACTTTAGTAAACAAGTATTAGGAGCCAAGTAGGGTAGGTTAGGACTTTATGTCTAATTGCTCATATAGTTCCTCTAACCATATTTTCTAAACGAACTAGAGCCAATCCGAAATGATCTAAGAGATCTGCTGCTGAATGAATCCGTTTATTTTTCAAAATTGGCATATATCTCCAACTATGAGGTTGTGAGTTCGATCTCCCACCTCACATATTGTACTAAAAAGAAAAAAGTGTTAAGTTTCTAAAAGTAATTTAGATTTATGTTAGATAATTAGCAAGAAAAATTAATAACTTTCTATGCTTAATCCCTGTCAATCAAACGAAATTCAAATCATTACAACTTTACACAATAAAAGTAATTCTTATTATGAATTTTTCTGGTTTGCTGCAGGCTCTGTATGGTGGGTATATGGTAGCATTTGCTGGGCAGAAGTATGCAGCAAGATCTCTCCCAGTATTGATTACTGATAATTCTAACACCATAACTAGTTTCACTTTGGTAAGCCCATAAAGCATGTGCAAAGAAGAGAAAAGACCATCATTTCATTATAATTTATAATAACAAAAGTTGTGCTTTCCAGGTTCTTGAATTTCAGAAGGGCACTCTTCAAAATCTGTTCTGGAAGAAATTTGGGTGTGATAAATGCACTGGGGACTACTCAGTTTGCCTGGACAACCAAGACTGTGCAGTTCCAAACACCAAATGTAAATTCAATGGTGGTTCCATTGACTGCAATCTGAGCATACAACTAGCATTTTCAGGGACAGACAGGAACCTGGAAGTCCTCAACTCCTGGTTTGAGGTCGACAATCTCAGGCGCTACTCCCTCTATAAACTTTTCTCTGATGTTCGAGATACTATCTCTGATGTTCATGATACCATCACCAATCCATTCGGGTAAAAAACTTCTTGACTTTTACTTCTTCAGCTCTGTAGGTGGCAACATAGTTCAGAGCTGAGCTATGATCAGCACATGTCAAGATGGCTCATTTATAGGAAAGATTATACCGTACAATGTTGAAGATTCAACTTAATATATATGAAGTATAATGTGTATTTTGCAGGAATAAGCTTCCACCAAAAAGAAACAGAGGGATATCTTTTTCCCTTTTCTATTTAATCATCTCAAAAATTAAATGATCTCGATCATAGATTTAATTTTCTTCAAGTTCATGTCCCAATAGGGATTCAGTCATCAAAAGACAAATTTCTGCTCCTAACTGTTAGAATCCAACTTAGCCCTATCATTCTTCTCCTCTAATCCACCATTGATATTAACAGCTAGTCTTCCTTCTTTCTCATGCCATTCTTGTAAAGATTCTCACTGTCCAAAAATCGAGCTTATTCCATTTTACCTTCGAATTCATGGCCATCAACAGAGGGCTGGGAATCGTCACTCGGGTGGTTCTCCAATCCTGTGTTTGCCAAAGCTTGTGAACTATCTACAGCACCTACGTGCTCTGTTCTTGAGCCTTTCTGGTTTGTCTGAGCACAGCGGGTTTGAATGAGATAATGTGCCACGGACTTGAAACCCAAATTGCGGACCTAAGCAATCAAAAAAAAAATTTAGCTTCTCTTTGACATTACTAATCGATATAATTCCAGAAGATGAAACAAGCACTTTAAAAACTTGAGGCAATCTATAGCCGTAGAATTTGACTGTTTTCTGCCATATCTTTTATGTACAGGAAAGAGAAGTGATATAAAGCTTTCCTAACAAAAGCTTACATCAGCTATAAACCAAGAGACAAGCTAGAATTTAGAAGGAAAGCATTTTTAACATAGAGCATTTGAATAATACATGTAAATGCACAGATACTAACCTTCCTGTATATGGCACCAGTCGGCTCCCATCCTTTTGATTGTCGACACAAACTGCAGTTGCATATTCCACGACATACCGGGCAGATCCATTTGGGATCCATATTCACTTCCATCACATTCTCTCCATATCTATATAAAAATAGAAGTTGCATACAGTTAACTGTTCAAACAAATTGCAGAAAAGGGAAATACAATATGATTGCAGCATATAAGTTCATTTCAAGCAGAAGTATCAAATGGGCATGCAATCCAATCCAATATCTTGCACAAACAATATCAGGGGTGATCAAATTATATCTTTCATCATTGATCATAAAAATAGATTTGTCTTGGTTGAAGAAAATAGCATCAGGAAAAGAAATTGAAATTTTCAAGCTGTCCTCTAAAGAGCAGCAGGTTATATCAATTTACCGCACGTATAAGCAATCCCCACATAATTGCCCCTGGCCCGAGTTACATTTGCTGCAATGTGTGTGGTGACCAAGAGTCTTCTGCCTGCAAGCCAAGAGGGATATCATCACAAAAGATAATTGTCAATGACACAATCGAAACCAGGTCAAGATCGTAAACACCCTGATATATTAGAAAATACTAAATAGAACAGACAAAAGAGGACACTGGACAACCAAGTTTTTCTAATGTACCTATGAACCATGCTGTATGCAAATGGGATAAAAAACTCCATCCGGCATCCAGTGAGAGTTTTCCTAAATAAACCCTTCCAATATTGGTGGTAAAATAAGAATAACTAGAGACTATAGAGCTTTAAGATACATGTCAATAAATATCCACAAATGAGCATTCTTGAGAGCAGCAGAATGAGGAAATATTATTTACCTCAAAGTGTTCTATTACTTGGCATGATAGCCATACAAAAAAACTGGTAAATTGGAGTTCCTACTAACTTTCTGATTTTCCGATGGGGTTTATTTTTTGGGGATTTAAATCATATTAGAAAGTAGGAGCTCCTATTTTTAGTGTGGAGGCAAGTTTGTTCATAGCTTAGCTATAAGTTCCGGTGCGTCACAAACGTTTCTTTTTCAAACAATCTTGTGCTTGATTAGGATAAAAGGTCTAAACTAACCTCAAGTTTGTATATGCATGATGAACCGGTAATTAAACATTAAAAGAATAATTGAATGAACATTGTCTGCTCATGACAATATATTTGAAGAAATTAAAAGAAATTGAAAACAAATATTACCTGCATTGATGACAAGACTCTCCATTGATAGGATCATACATACACTTCCCATCTTGACCATATCCATCCACACAAAGAGTCCAATTTGACTCACAATCTCCCAACAGCTTGGCATCTTCTTCCGCGTAAATTTCTGGTTGCGAACCTTCTTTTATGTGAATCTCGTTACTTTTAGAAGTTGCTTTCTTAGTTTTAGGATGCAGCTCTGCATAACTAACTGGAGTCAATGTCTTCAACCTGGAAATCATAAGCAATATCAATCCACAACTACCGCTAACTTTCCTGTTGGTGAAATGTTAATGTATTACCAATTATATTCTTTTTCTCAATAGCAAATCTTTTAATACTATTTGCAATTAAAGGCTAGGTTCGTATTTTTATTTCTATGCTTTTTGTAACTCGTTCAATTTTGTGCTTCGAAAAGAAAATTCGAGTAATACTGAAAGTACCTCAAAATCTTGTGATAGTGTTCAGACATGGCAAGGTTAATTTTTTGAAACAGAATCTAGACATGTTTTCATATCAATTAAAGTCAACCTAATTGTCAGCTCAGTGTCAATTGAGCAAATTTATCATGAAATTTGTAATTTCTTCAAGGCTCAACGTTTCTTAAAACACATTCTAAATATGTAATAATGACAATGCAGGGGCAAGAAGCATTAGGATCTCTTAGTTTGATTGTTTAGATTAAGTTTTAAGTGATTTCATAATGGATTTCGAATGAATTTTTTCGTTCTTCATCCTTCAAAATAAAATGATTTGAAATCTTGCTTTTACTAAAAATCTCCATGTTAAAATGGTCAAGATTTCGCAAAAATTCAACGCTTATTTTCTTTATGTGCAGGGGGGAACAGATATTTCATTCACTATTTTACTTACTTAACGCAAGAACATCGAAAGAACAAAATTCCAAAACGCTCCAAAATATTATACGAATACGTGGGGGGAAAGAGCAAACAGTACCTCGAGGAGCGCCTCGGGAGTTCGACGGCGGACAATCCGCCCTGCTCCGGCGGTTCCTTGGAAGAATTTTTGGAAAATCGCTTCGTTCCGGCAGTGGTGGACTTAAGCTTAAGAGAAAGTTCGACAATACCTAGTTTTTGCATCCGCTCCATATTTTCCTTAACCCTTCGGTCCCTAAGCTCCTCGTAACCTGGAGAAGGAACCTCCGGCGTTCCCTCGGCCACGGTTCCATTTCCGGTGGCGGCGCTTCCTCTTCCTCTCTTTCTCCGAGAAACCATTGCCGCTCCGCCGCCCACTGCGGGCCCGGCGCACTTGCGGTTGAGATTGGGAGTGGCGCTCTGGAAAATCGGAAGGTTTCACACGAAGTGGCGAACAGAATGCAGTGGAAGTGGCGCGAACTGCCTTGTGGGATTTCTCTTTTCTGAAAAAATTAGTAATCATTTTTTTTCTCCTTTTTTTAGGGGAATTACATCAATTGCAAAATAATATGACACTACATTTTCTATATTTTTGGAATCTTAGGATACTACAAACAATTGGGTAATTTTTTAGCTTAATTTACTAATTTTGTGATTTGTGAATTTATTTGGTGTATCAAATTTTAAAATCATGCATTAGGCTGGTTTGGTAACATTATTCATTTCTATTTTTTTTAATAAAGATAAATATAGCTGCATGACCCGAACATCTATAGAATCAATAATGATAAAACAAAAAATTTATTTATGTTGGAATAAATTGGAAATGGGAACAAAAAAGAAGAAACGTGTTTTGCTTGTTTCCAAAATTTATATACAAATTTGAGAATCTTCCAAAAAAAAAGATAAACGAGAAACATGATTAGTTCACTTCGAAGGAACACTTGGAACTCCCCTCCCCTAGGAGTGGTGAAGATCAATACCGACGGTTCTTGTGAGTTAAATCACTAGGGCATAGGGGTGCTTGTTCGGGATGATAGAGCGGAGATTGTGGCTGCTCTAGTGGATGTTCTTCCACAAATGAGTCCTCAACTTGCTGAGCTAGCTACGATTAGAGAAGGTTTGAAGGTGGCAGTGCGAGTAGAGTTGTAATGAGTGATTGTAGAGACGGATTCTCTGAGCTCAATATGTCTGATTCATCGAAAGAACCGACATTCAGAATGAAGTTGCAAATTGGATCACAGATATTCAAGTATTATCGAAAAGTTCCACGACGATCTCCTTTCAGCATGTCTACAGGGAGTTGAATTCAGCTACTCATTGTTTAGCAAAGGAAAGTTTCAAGGTGGGGAGAGCTCGTGTGTGGCTTTCTGTTTTCCCCAATTTCTTTGTCGGTATGTTGAAACTTATTTAGCCTTAATGGCAAGTTCATTTTAATGCAATTTTTTAATTAAAAAAAAGCATAATTAGTTATAAAATATTTAGATTTCTTACCAAAAAAAAAAATTATAAACAAGAAACAAGAAATAGAATCGTTGCCACACATGTTCTTAGTGTATGGAATTTGAGATATTATTCTCAATGGTCCAAGTGTTTACTTGGTATCGTGGATGTGTACGACTTTTTATGACATGACCAAAATTTATTAATTTTATATTAAAATGTGCTTGGATGGTAAGTATATTCTTATTTACTACCATCCTAAAATCAACCACTATTTTTTTAAAATATATATATTTTACCTATATTCCTATTTATACATTGATCTTTTTGCTATAAAAATTTTTAGTAATGGTCGTTAAGAGATACCCACTCACCGATCAACATCTAACTATTATTCCGATCTCTCTAGTTTGATCACCATCTTATTTACTACTTTTATATCGTCCTATCTTCATCCTACTAATTTTACACTTTCTTGTTGACTACCCTCCCAAATCCCAATATTTTCTCCTCAATTAATTTGAATTATAGTGGATATTAGGGGTGTTCACGGGTTGGATTTTGGGTATTTTTGGGACCAACTCGAATTTTCGGAATCGATGGGTTGTAAAACGATGGTCAACCCAACCCAACCCAATAAATTCGGGTTGGGTCAGATTGGGTTGCTGGGTTGAAGTTTTTTTGGGTCAAAAACTGGCAGAATGAGATGAAATTTTAATAGTTCAAGAGGTTTTGTTGTTAGTTGAAAAGGCGTTGAGAGAGAGTATACCAAAGCGGCGGCAGTGACAGCGAGAAGTGGAGACTGGAGCGGCGGCAATGAGAGGTCGAGACGGGAGCAAGGCGGCAGCAACGACTAGAGGTTGAGACTGAGTAGCAACGGTGGCGTGGAGATTGAATCTAGAAAAGTGAAAAAATGGGAACTAAACTGGGAGAGAGAGATGTGGGAGAGAGAGATGAAATTGAAACTCTAAAATCAATGGTTGAGATTTAATGAAATGGATAGATGAGATTGAATCTAAAAAAAGATTTTAATTAATAATTAATAATTTATTATATATATTTAATATTAGATTATTAGTAATATATATATATATAATTAAAAAAACATATAATCTCGGGTCGGGTCGAGTTGACCCGAGATTTTTAAAGGTCAACCTGAGACCCGACCCAACCCGTTCGGTTGTCAGGTTCCCTAGACACTCATAATGGATATTATTTGATTTATGCCATTTTATATCTACCTCTCAAGAAACTTCATCATACACAAATAAAAAGATCATGAAAATTAATCTTGCCCACACTAAAAAGATCCTCAAAATATTAAACCAAACATCATGTTTGCATTTTATATACAACTAGAGATTCACGTAACCTACGAAAGAAAATTCTGACAAAAAAAAAAAGAAAAAGGAAAAAAAGGAAAATTTCAAGAGTTGGATTCTCCTTCGATTGCTTTTAAATCTATATGCTATTCGGATAGGACATGAATTAAGTGATAACATAATATCAATTTTTTTTAACACAACATGTTAGGGAGAGAATTCGAACTCACAACCTCTTAGTTTGAGGTATATGTCAATTACCCTCGCTTTGACATCAAATTCCTATTGATATGTCAATATTTTTGCATATTCATATACTCGACATTGATATAAAAAGTAAATCAATATTTATATTCTAGCATAAAAATATCAACGTAAAATTATAAACAAAATATTATTGATGTAATATAAATATTATCATTGTAACTCATTTTAAATTGTGAAATCCTTATTTTTTTACCATCAATTTTATCAATATTTCTATTACATATTAATCTCATTCGCGAAATAATTAAAATTAAATGAATATTTTTATACGCTTTGAAAGCTGAGGTCTATTATCGTTGTACTACCAATTTGGTAGCTGCTGTTTGAATTCTAATCTTACATTTATGTCGGTACGAGATTTATGTTCTTAATTTACTTTTATGTGTTCTTATTTTATGTTTATCTTTTTAAGTGGTGTGACTTGATATCAGGCGGTGAGATACTCCGTTTTTCTATTTAATATATTTACATTTGGAAAAAAAAAATTAAATGAATAAATCAAAGATACCATATGTGAGATGCGTGCAGCGCCCATAGAACCAGTCCCCAAAAACTCCCCATCGCCGCGTTTCTCGTATACCATGTCCGCACCGGATCCGGGCCCACCGCTTACGCTTTTTTTTTTTAATCCAAAAAGGAAAAAGTCCAATGAGCCCTTCCAATCCGCTCCACGTCAGCCACTCCCACCCAATCACATCACGCCGATCCAACGGTCCAAAACAAACGATTCTGTTCCAGAAATATCCGACGTCACGATCTCCAAGATATTTAAATTCCAATAAATAAAATAATATCCAATCCTTCATCCTTAATCCTTATCCCTTTTTTCTTCAACTTCTTCCTCATCAAAATTCCTCTGTTTCAATTTCTGCAACACTTCCCGACGATGGAATCGTTCATCCTCCGTTCCATTTCTTCGCCGTTTCTTCTCGAGGCTACGGATCTTCGCCGGACTGGATCCGCTTCCTCTTCTGCCGTTCGTTGTTCTTCCAGAAGCCATGCTTATATTCCCAAGCTCGAGCCCTTCAGCCGGACCAAGCTCGACCGCGCCATCAAGGAGCCGCCTCTGATCGAGAAGTCTGAAAGCGAGCTTGCAGGTTTCGCTACTTATTTTCGAGGAACTCGATTTTTTGGACCGGTTGTTTTCTGTATGGAGTTTTTGTGTTTATGATCTTTGCGAGTTTTTCGTCTTTGGATTGATTTAGATTATTGTTCGACGTTGGAAGGAGACGACTCGTATAGCTGTTGGAAAGCGTATTTCGAGCTTAAAGATCTTGAGGTGAGTTTCTGTGGATCATCGATTAATTTTGCTGCGAGTTTTTCTGTTATTTCGTGTTTGATGATTTTTTTTCCCCGAATCTGGTGTACTTTTTGAAGAAAGGCTTCTGGACACCAGACTTAAATTTAATTGATAGGAGGAAAAGAGATTCAATCGTGATATTGTTTTGATTCAATTTCCTATCCTTCTGTGTGTTCAGAAAGATTCGCCAAAACAAGAAGTGGAGAAACTGATTCTCCAAGCGGGCGGCGTGAAATCGCTAATCGGATGCTTACACGGCATCGCAGCCATACACAAGAGGAAGGGAAGCGAGAACAACGCTGCGAAGCCATTGAACGGCGCGGAAGGAAGAGAGACAGGTTGTCCAATACCAGATGGATTGCCCAAATCCGCAGAGGAAATGGAAGAAGAAGAGCGAGCGAGAATGCCAGATTCGCCATTTACGAGATTGCTGAGAAGCAAAGGTACATTCCCTGCTTGGTATTCCCCTGCACCCGATCACGAAACAGATTGAACACAAACAAACAAACTTTTTTTCATGAAACTAGGTTTTAGTTTTGGCAGATTGAATTCGGAGTTAATGAATTTTCTCTGTAAATATTTGTTATATAAAATCAGTGATTAGAGGTACAGCCTTCTTCTGTATATGTAGTTTGATGTCGGTTTGGTGTGGGTGTTATATATAAAAAAACAATTGCTAGCAACTTTTTAAGTATTTGAGATTGAATTATCGACTTTTGAAATGATAATATTATTAACCGAGGCAGAAGTATGGATGATCCGTGCTCAATTTGATTCAAGCAAACATTTCAAAGATTCTGACTTTGAAATTTGTCCATCTTCTTGATTAATTATTCATTAGGTTAAACATGGGATCCTTGCTTTGAAATTTGTCCATCGCCCTAATTTTTCATAGTTGTGTTGGTAGCAACGTGGACTTTTAATCATGTCTAATAAATCTGTGCAACTTTGTAGTTAGTTTCTTTAATATATTATTTAAAAATTGTGTGACTGTCTGATGTCAAGCTTAGTGGCAAGAGTTTATTAGAAATTGTTCAATAAACATTATCATGACGTTTAAGTACCTATGAGAGATTTTTAGATCAAATAGGCACAACTTTAAAAGTCAAAAGACTAAAGTTATTAACTATTATCAAATCTATGCTTTCCTTTATTTGTAGTTTTTTAATAAAAAAAAATGTTAAAAGTTGGAGGTCTTTGTGCTATCAAGCAATTCAATGCTTACACCTGACTAAAAAAAATATAAAATAAATAGTAATAAATAAATATCAGTGCTTACACCTCGTCCCAATACCTTTGGACCTCTAGTATTTAGCTTCGATTGTCTATTTTTGAATAAAAAAGAAGTAAAAGTTGTATATAAAAGTTAATTTTTCAAATTAGTATTCAAAATTTTAATGCTGTATCTATTTTTTTTTATCTTTGTTATGCATTTTTAAAATAAATAAATAATGTTTTTATCTTGGTTTATAGAGAAAAAAAAAACTAGAAACAAGAAGAAATTTTCTTGATTTTGTTGTCTTATAAATTTATAAATAGTTCTATGAGAAACGATGGACAACCATAATTATTTTTATAGAATTAAAATAAGAAAGGAAAAAAATTTATCAAATGAGTCATTAGCATTTTACTAAAAAAAAGAAGAAAAGTCACTGTCGTAAAGCAAGTTGTTAGCTATCAATCGTAGAATTATAATTTTCAAAGTCGACTTAATTTAACAAGCAGAGGTTAGCAATTTTCTCCCTCCGAGTCTTCCCTGAGAAGGATAGTCTCCGTGGACATTCTCGTAAATTACAAAATTCAACAATAATGGAGGAAAAAGATCATTTAAATTAAATGTAAGCGAAAGGTTCAAAATATTAGAACTATTCAAAATAAAAAAAAATTAATACAAACAATTTACTTTATAAGTTTAAGACATTTTCGAGCTTTTAAGTTAAACAAATATGGGCGGGAATTAGACCTTCCAAACCAAAAAAAACAAAAACAAAAACAATGACAAAACAAAAGTAATTTATATATTCTTTTAATTATTGAAGTTAAAAATTATAATTATAAAAAGTTCTGAAAGTACTGCGTACTTGGTAGACGGAACATAGATCATAAACCAAAATTTTAATCTAACTTAAACATTATTTAAAGTATGTTTAAGTCCGATTGTAGTTATTTTGGTCATTGTGGTTTCGATTTTGGTTTCTATAATTTCAAAAGGTTCATTTTGATTTATATACTTTTAAAACGTCTATTTTGAACTTTGTAAAGTTAAAAAGCGACCATTTTTGTCATGTTTGCAAAATTCTAACACGAATTTTATACCCCGTCTAATAAAAATTGATGGTTACATTTCCACAAATATACTTAGTGGAGTGTTATGTTAAAATTGTAAAAAAAAAGGGACTAAAATAATTACTCCTTAAAAGCACATTTTCTTAAAAGTACATTGATAAAATGAACTAGTATAAAAAATAAATAGATCAAAATAGACGTTTTGAAAATATAAGAACTAAAATGAACCAAAGTAGTACTTATGACATACTTTCCGATCTACCTTTCATACACGTCTATTCTTTAATGGGTCTACATTATATTTATGTCTATATGCACACCTATGATCTGCTCACACTAATATAATTTTTTTGTTAATTTATGTCTATTATTTTTAGTCAAGTTAGGCTCAAGTTAGTAGTTCCATAACGGAACAACATTTACGTATAGTAAATGATTAAATCTCATTCGTGAAGCTCGAATTTTGGATACTAATGTACACAGGACATGCAAAACAGAGTTAGCATTCTGACATTATAGTCAATACTTATTCAATCTATACTCAAGAGATAATATAGTTTCGTGTACCTTACGTGTGGGGACTTCTGTTTATATAGGTGAACTCTCGATAGGGCTTCTGATAACGGTCCAATAACTATTCTGACTGATAATTACAGCGTCTTGTTGGAGAATGTCTGGTGGTTTGTGCCTATAGGTGCTCTCGGTGCTCTTCAAGATCGTTCATCCTTTGGGAAGGTTAGTCAAGTGGTGGAATATTATGGCTCGGCTCGACTGGACTTGCCTGCCTTACGCAATCACTGACTGACGTTCTGAAGTTCTAGGTCTTAACGCTCTCCGCGCTGTCTCACAACAAATCCACTTTGAAGTTGACTTATTCGCTCGGCCAATCGTCAGAATGTTGTTGGAAGGATAAGATCCATCCACTTGGATATTTCACAGTGCATAATAGTTATTACAGGAACAGTTGGATATTTCTGTCGAAGTCCCAATTAAATTGAACCCCTTTTGACTAATTGACTTCTGTATCCCCTCACACCTTTAAAATAAAATCCATACATGCAAATTAGATTTAATTTCACAACCCAAAAAAAAAATAATAATAATAACTCAAAACGATGCCGAATTTGAATCTCCTCCTCCTCCTCTTCCTCTTCCTCTTCCTCTGTTCTTCAGTAGCCAAAACGCGATCAGATCCGGCGCCGCGGCGCCACCACTTCGTCCTGGTTCACGGAGCCTGCCACGGCGCGTGGTCGTGGTACAAGGTGGCGGCTCTGCTCCGGTCGGCGGGGCACCGGGTGACGGCGGTGGACATGGCGGGGTCCGGGATCGACCGGAGGGAGGCGGAGCGGCTGAGATCGTTCTCGGAGTACGTCGGGCCGCTGAGGGATGCGATGGCGGCGGTGGCGGCGGAGGAGAAGGTGGTGCTGGTAGGGCACAGCCAGGGCGGGCTGTGCATCTCGAAGGCGATGGAGAGTTTTCCGGATAAAATTTCTGTGGCTGTTTTCGTCGCTGCGGCTATGCCCGGCCCATCCCTCAACGTTTCTTTTCTTCTTCAACAGGTAATAGGTATTATTTTATTATTCCCTCTTAACAAAAACTTGTCTTTTGTTTAAAAAATATTTATATCATTTTAAAAGTTTAAAAGTTGTAGTGCAGCAAACGTTTTAAAAATTGACTCGATAGAATTCGGAACAACGTGGTAATTAGTGTCGTTAATTAATTAGAATTTTAATCATAAGTCTTATTTACTTGTAATAACTATCTACTCTTCTTTCCTTCTTGTACTAAAAAATTAATGCTTGAATCTATCTTAAATCAAAATTATACACACACATATATATATATTTTGTTAGTACAATCTTAAAAGTTTAGATATATATTAAAAAAATAAATAAGTAAAAAGACGAATTAACCTATATTTTTGTCCCTTTTCTTTTATTGCAGATGCTTCGGAGGGTAGATTTTGGGCCAGACAGTCGCTATACATATGGTAATGGACCGAGAAACCCTCCAACAACTTTGACATTCGGCCCACTGTTCTCGGCCTCAAAACTCTACAACAATAGCCCCAAAGAGGTAATTTAATCACCATCTCAAGAAAGGTTAGATGGTGGATTTATGATATGAAAAAGTTAGAATGTCCTATAATAAGCGTGAGGATGGAGTGAACTCGAGCATACCTCGGTAGCAATTGGATCTATTCCTTTCCTTGAGGTTGGAAGTTTAAAGTTCCATACTCTCAATTTCTTATACTAAAAAAAAGTATGAGGATGGAGATTCGATATTCTGACCTTCTGGTCAAAAGTACCATCATAGCCCGATCCTCATTTTTAGTATTTTTTGTGGAGTAGAATTTCAGTGAATTATTTCTAATGATCACTGAATTTCACGTTTCAATCAGTGTTTTTTAGTTACTTAAAAAACAATGATTCAAACTCCCCGCAACAAATAAAAGTTTTACTACAATATTATATATAAATATCAACATACACAATGAATTTTAAGAATGAAATGGTAAGAAATGTGTCCGATATCCTTTGTATACTTTTTTAAGGGCCTAATAAAAGGTTTATAATATAAGTGAACTACTCCTTTTATTGTTAATTGATTTTGAGGTGGAACCATGAATATTGATATTTAACTAGTTAACTTACGTTGAGGTTTGCTAAATTTACGTGCTAAATCTACAACTTTGGTTTGCTGTTGAAGGACTTAACACTGGCCAACACATTGATGAGACCAACCCATTTGTTTGGGACACAACAATGGAGCAAGGATTTGAATCTGACAGTAGAGAGGTATGGGTCTGTTAAGAGAGTTTTTGTGGTTTCAGGGAATGATAGAATCATAAACAAGAAGTTCCAATGGTGGGTGATCAAAAGAAATCCTCCTACTGCTGTGGTGGAAGTTAGAGGATCAGATCATATGGTGATGATGTCCAAACCATTCCATCTCTTCAAGAAACTCCATCGCATTGCTCGAGATTATGCTTAGATGGCTCGAGACGACGAATTATGTTTCTATTTAGTAACCACTGTTAATGTCGTTTTTGATATCACGAACTTCATTAGAGTAGTTTTACCCAACATTACATCTCTCAAATCAACTGATTTATATATGTTTTAATAAGTTGAGTTGTGTTTAGATTGAAATGTTAAAAGTAACACATATGTGAGGAGAATAAGAGAGGCAAGGCAAGCAAGCTAGAGAGTTTCTCCCTTTAGCAACCCCAACCCAATCAACAAAATCAACGGTCAGTTGGTCGATTCAAACGAAAAGTCGTTATATGTGGAATTCGAACCATCAATTTCTGGCATCGGTTTATACCCAAAATCGACAGCAACCGACCGATATGCACCCCTGCTCATACTCCTCAATCTTCCATCGAAAACTTCTTAACATATACCTCATCCTCATTCCCTCGGTCCATTCTTAGTGATGTTATAACCAAAAAGAAGGAAACCAAATCTTTTCACAACTGCTAGAAACAGAAAGATCAGAACCCAGAAAAGAGAGAGCAACAGAAGCAGAAAAAAGTTACAAAAAAGAAAAAAAAACACATATATCCCAAGAACAGAACAGAATAAACAGAACAAAAAGATATCAAAACAATGAAATTTATATAAACATATATGAACAAGAAAAGGCTGTATCATTATCATCTAACAAAATAGGAAAAAACCAGAGGAACAGTTGGGTCTGGAAGGAGCTGCAATGGAGAATATGTCATAGGCACCGCCATGAAAACAGAGCCCACTGAGCTAGCCATGGCTATTATAAATTTCACAGCCATTTTCAGCAGCTTCAAACACATTCCCACCTTCTGAACCACCACCATCTTCTTCTTTTTCTTCTTCTCTCTCTGATATGATTTCAGTTCCTTATCCAGAGGAGATGGGCTTTGAACTTCAAAGATTTTAACTTTGAAACTGAGAGATTCTTCCTTTAAAAAATTATGTTTCTTCCACCAGAGGACAAAGGAGGATACTTTATTCATTGAAGTGGGTCCTCCTTCAAAGGACATTTCTACTGTTATTTCCATATGATTGTTGTAGGATTGTATTTGTATCTCTTGTTGATGTCTCAACCACCCACGCTAAAGAAAGTCTTAAACTTTTTAGTCACTTGTACACCTCCTTTCTTCTCTTTTTCTCTTTTCGGGCCATCTACGTGAACTACGACCAATAAATATGTATATTCAAATATAGCTTAATTTGAAATTTTATAAAAATAGTGTAATCCAATTCAAACTCAATCTTAAGATCTAAGAAGTATGGATATAGATACGAGAGACAAATATGACATAAAATGAATATAGTGACATGTCATTATTTATTTTTTTTAAAGACAATATACTATTTTTTTAGTATATATCATTTTTATACCTAATGGAAACTCAAAGTCAATAAGATTATGCATTTTTATGCTTTAAAATGAGTTGGATATATTTTAGTTTCAAAATGTATTGTTTTGTATATATTACTAGATGCGTATATTTTTTATGCTTAACAACTATTCGATATCTGCTTGTTGAATAATTCTTATTAACTTTGTACAATTAGTACGTAAGCTAGCATAGCTGCACAATAATTAGCATATACTAGTTTTCTTCCGATGGGAGGTTCAAACTCTTTATTATAATAAAAAGACATGAACATAATTCATCATCTTAATGTAAGACACTAAATTAAGAAAAGTCATACTCATGTTGGTATAATTAAAGAAATTAAAAGTTGTGCCTTTTTTTAATTACATATTAAATTTGAGCGTTTTTGTTTTCCTTTAATTATTTGATGCTTTTTTTTTTGAATAATTATCCGATGCTTTGTTAATAAGCTAATGTCAATGATTTGAATTTATTTTGGCGTTTTCTAATAAAAAAGTTTAAGTTAATTATATAGGTAATGATAAGGACATCTAACGGTTTTCTTTATCTTTGTAATCCCATTTCTAATTTTTTTTTCCCTTTTCTAAATCACACTTCCTAATCAAATTGTAGAAACTAAAATAAATGATTTAAAAAATCAAACTGTTTTTTTTCCCCTTAAAAAATTAGGTTAAACTTTTCCAGAGTCTTTGAAAAGTGAAAAAAAAAAAAAAAATAGAGACAGAAACGGTTAATGAAAACGCTTATTCTTAAAAATAGAAAAAAAAAGTGAATTAGTTAATTAGCCGTATGAGGGGCAGATTCAACAAATTCATTGACATATATTTTAATCTGTTGGATAGAAAAATAGTCTTACGGATGATGAAAGGTCGGAAGAATGAGGTCTTATATGAGTAGCATCTCTCTTCTATACTTATCCGGACAACACTTCAGCGATGCTTTCCTACAACAAAGATATCACTCGGGTTCGACCTTAAGCACCCGACATTACCGACCTTTGGGGATACTAATAACCGCTTGTCAGATGGTTTGTAAAGTATTCAACCTATAAATAGAGGGCCTCATTTCCGCATCAGGGACGACATTCTTTCTCGGACTCTATATTAAAGTCGAGTTTATACTGACTTGAGCCGCCTCTCTTGTGTAGGTCTTTCCTTGTATTTCAAGCTCTTCCCTCTGTCATAACTTACCCAGATTTGATCTCAATCCATTTTATCACACAAACACACCGTTTGTATTTCTTTTACTTAGTCCTTATAATTTAAATAGTCTCAATCCAATCTCTTACATTTTAAACATTGTTTTTAATTCTATCGTTTTTCATGATCAATGTAAAAATTAGTTGATAACCAAATTTACACCATAGTTAAAATTAAGTCACAAAGGAAAGCTTCTAAAATTTGGTAGATAGTAACTATTTTTCTCTCAGATGAACTAAGACTCTGTTTACCTATTACAAATTGAAATAAAAATCAATCGGAATGAAAATGTTATTCATTTGATGTTGCTTACCAATAATTTTTTGAAATCTCGAAATCAGAAATTCTTTGATATTATTTACTAAAACGGTCTAGAATCGGAACATGAATTAGATTTATAACTATTATACCCGTTTCTTTTTCTAGGTAATTATAGAGACATTAATGTGATATTTTTTTAATTAAAATATCAACAATTTTTAATTTATTTGATTACTATTTGACCGATAGTAAATAATTTTTATTATAACAATTTATTTAATATTAATAAATAATAATTAATTAAAATAAAATTACATCAACTAAAATAATTTCTCGTTATTTAATAAAATATAATTATTCTAATATTTAATAATAATAAATTACATTTTAAAATTTATTGATAATTAATAATACCAAAGTAAATTAAAAAATTAAAAAATTAAAAATCTCAGCTATAGATGAGAAAGAAAGAATACAAGTTGTAAACTAATTATAATAAATAAATGAGGCCATGTAAGAAAATGAGATTGATGAGGTTGCAGAGGATAGATGAAATTACAAAATTTGAGGTGAGTTCACCATTTAATTTTATTTCTACACCTAAGAGGTTGTGAGTTCGATCCGCACCCTCACATATTGTACTAAAAAAAATTCGTTCCTACAACCTATTGATATCATACATGTAAATAATTAACTAATTTTTTTTTAAAATCCTAATTCCTAACCAAATTTTAGAAACTAGTGAGAAACTTTTCCAATAAGATTCTTTAAATTTTCATATACCATTTATTACTTTTGAAATGAAAAAAAAGTGTGAATAATAAATTAACATATACAATATCCAGAGTAGTTGAATAATTAACTTTAGAATTTGAAACAACTTAAAACAAAGCAGAATTCATTAAAGAGACTAATACATTGTTTATAGATTAATTTTTTTACACTATTTAAATAATTGTTTTTTGCTTCAACATAACTGAAAATCAAATAATCAAAATCAAATTAATTTGTTGATGGATTAAAATTATATATTATATATTATCCATCAAAAGTTGAAGGTTGAAATCTTTAGTTGTTGTTGAACTGAAAAAAATTAGTTATTAAATTTATAATTACACCAACCATTTATATATTCAAAATCTTAAACTGCCACCCACCACCTTCTTTTACACAAATATAAAAAAGAAAAACCCAACCCACACAATTGGAAAGATTTGGAAGTGAGAGAGAGAATTTTTTTATTATTTTATATATATTTTTCTTTTTCACAAGGGCTAAAAGAAGGAAACAAGAGCAAGAGCTACTAATAAGCAAAACAAAAACTATACATATAAACACACAAATTGTAAATAGAAGCATATTTCAATAGGTAAGATGACATTATTTCCTCCTCAAAATTCAATATTTCTATCCTCCATCCTGTCATCCTTGAACTCAGAAAAAAAAAAAACACAAATAATCAAGTCTTAATTAAGCAACCAATACAACTCCATAATAAGGAACAAAAGAATAAGAAGTTCGCCGAATTGAAAGAGAAGAGAAGGAGACCGACATGGGAGAGGTTGTCATCTCTGTAATAAATTTGACGACCATTCTCACGAACTTCACACATATTTTCAACCTTTGGAAGATCATGTCATCTCAACAAAATGAAAGAATAATCTCAAGTTATTCTATGAACATTGTTCTTCTCCTCTGCCTGTCTCTTTAAATATATATTGTTAGATAAGGCATTGGATCCATATTCTTATCCAGATTTCATATGTATCTGGTGGTTCAATTGTAGGATGAGGGTATTAAATTTTTAGGTCGGAGAAAGATACATTTTTGAATCATATTTGGAATATTGACAAACTTTATTATGAGATTGGGTCCACAACTAGCTCAACAATATTGTCCATAAGGGCATATATTATTCTCTTAGATTTTTGTGTAATATGTTGAAATTATATGGACACCAGGGATTCTAGATTTATGAATAGAAACGAAAATGTTTAGTATCATTCAATCGCTTCTAGTCTGTACAAGTATAGTTTAGCTGTAAAGATATATAATTTCTTCTTTTGCAAGGAATTACCAACACGACCCGAACCAATTCAAGTCTGACAGTGGTCGAGTTATGGGTCAATTTTAATCAAACTTTGTTGCCTTTTTACCTTACTTGTGCAACTCTCCCCTCTCTCTTGACACAGGCACGGTGGCGATGACAATCTAAATAGCATGACGACTCTCTCTTTAGGCACATGCGTCAGCAATCCAAAGGTAGATGCACAACAGCCTTGCGTCTTACATTTTGGCATTTTACATTTTTGAACTTTTACGTTTTTCCATTCCTAAATTTGATTTGGTGATCTTTTATAGAAACCCTAACCTGTTATTAAAAAGAAAATAATTAAATCAAATCGACCAAACCTAATTTGCATAGAACTTATTCGAATTGGTTCGATTTTTCTCTCTGGTAAAAAATCGACCTAATCTAACCTAATTACACTCATACAAATCTCTATACCCCTACATTTTGTTGTACTGAAACTTTAAAATCACCTGCAATATTGTTTTTTTTGTCCTCTACTAAACAAAAAGGTTTCTCTCGTTGCACACGTCTTTCTATTTTAATTTTTTTTTAAAAGTTCTCTTATAATTAACATACTTCTTTCTTTAAGAAAGCTTTTCCTTCGTCCGTGGTTAAATATGCATGTGTTACTTTATAATATATGATTTTTTTTAGTACATATAAGGGTGGGAGATTAAACCTACAACCTCATGGTTGGAGGTATATGTCAATTACTGTTGAGCTATGCTCGCTTTTGCTCTATTATATATGATATGATATGACATACAATATAATATAGGAAATCAATGATTTTATTTACTTCTACAATAACTTTGTCATAATCCTTTAGTAAAACTTATTTTACTTTGATACCCCACTACATGCGTGAGTGCAGGTTTTAAATATTATTTCGATCATTATATTTTCGATTTTGGTATCTATTTTTTCAAATTTTGTCCATTTTAATTAGTCTTTGTTCTAAACGTCTTTTTGGACTTTGTATTTTTAAAAAATTCTCATTTTTATCCTTTCATTTTTATTTTCATTTCTTTTGATTATAATTCTTAAAATAACAATTCATTCACTAGATTTCTTGAAACGTGACCATAAATGTGTATTAAAAAGTTCCATTATGTATAAAATTTGTGTTAAAATTTTGTAAATAAAGATCATGATGATCACTTTTTAAAGGTAGACCACAACAAATGTTTCAAAAATATATAGACTAAAATGAATAAAAATTGAAAATACATGGCTCAAAATAAAATGTTCGGAGAGTATTATGAACTAAAATAAACTAAAAAGTCACCAAAATAATATTTAAGTTTATACTTATTAATTGAATGATGTGACACCTTTAGCAAGATTATTAAATCAAAAAGTATCTAGGATAGGCCACTTATTTAAGTAGCTAGATGCTCTTTCTTTAATTTCTCTTATCTTAACTTTCACAAAAGAGTTGATTTAGTGTAATATAATACATTTAATTTAAAACTTAGCCCTACCAAACCCAACCATAAAAATATGATGAGTTCTTATACCTATGGACGTAATTATACCCTAAATTTATGAAATTGTTGCAATTAAATAGTATTGTTAACGAAGTTATAATAGTAAAGTTTAATTACAATGATTTAGTGAATTTTGAGTACAGGTAAGAGCAATTGTCGAAATAAAAAATTAGATAGTGTGTTGTAACACTTTTCCATATAATTTATTTGAAATACTTTTGGTTCTATATTTGAAGTAATGATTTGGTCCATTTTTAAATTAGTAATAATTTAGTGCTAATTATACATTAGTAGGTAACAGTTTAGTCCCGTAAAGTTTATAATATTTTTTAACCTAGTAATTAACACTTGTTGAAGTCGGAGAATAGGATTTTTATATTTAAAATTAAAAGAAATTTCTATCATTCCATATTTAGATAGAATTTGAATTTCTCCCTCGACCAAGTGAGTTCTTTTAGAAAAAGTAAAATTTTTTGGTCCCTAATACAAATTTCTCGACAACAAAGAATCATAGTGTATAGGCAAATCCCATAAATCACAACAAAAACAAAAGGCCAACTCCAACAAAGCAAAACAAAAGGATGACAGTTACATGTTTATATATATCGAGGAGTTTAATGAATTAAGTGGTTTTAAATTTCAAAGTTGGGAGCGTATGTTTGAAGATAAAATTAATTAATGAAATTACGTCTATAATCCAACATTTGAATCAATGATATATTAACTATCGTCTAAATATTTAGATATATCTAAAAAAAATTTACTATAGAAGTCCCACTTAACTCGAAGGATATAGTTCAGTTGGTAGAGCTCCAATCTTACCGTTGGATTGTTGAATCTCAGGGAGAGTTCAATCCTAAGTCAGGATGAATGCTAGCGGCATGCTTATTTTTAATTCTTAGAAGTATTTCATCGCTTACTACGCTCTTCCTAGTATTAAAAATACTTTAGTAAAAATAATTAAAAAGCAAACAATAAAATCTGAAACTATATTCCTTTATATGGCGCATAAGGATTTTATTTATAAAACTATTTTGTCCAAACTTTTCATTTTTTAAAATAATTATGATCATAGAGTTGAATCAAACCAACTTAATTTTATAGACTCAAGGTCGATTGAATCTGAATTAGGGCCAGCCAATCTGTAAAAACTAATTTCATAGTCTATTATATGATTTTTAAGTTGAGTTTAGATTTAGTCGATTGTAAATTGTTCGACATAGTTCAAGTCTTGACAATCATTATGAAGATAAAGACCTATTAAATTTTTTTAAAAAAATAATTATCATTAGTTTTAATAGAAAAAAAATCGTGACCAATTTACCTGGAAGGTCGGCTCCACCCAATTTCTAATTTATATATATTGATTAATAGTTACAACTAATTTTATATCGATGACATATGCTTTTAATCGGCTGAGCTGGTTAACAGCATATTTTTTATTTGCTATTATTTTTAGCTCTTATTTTTGTAATATTTTATTTAAGAGATAATGTCTTAATAGATTTGTAGGGTACCTATCCTAAATAGTATTTAAAGCCCATTGGGCTTGTAAATGGGCCTGAATACTCGTAGCCGTTAGAAATTTGAACTTCCGTCACAATTGTAACCTCATTATATCCTTTAGACCAAAAAGCCCCTAATGAATTTATTTTGTTCTCTTTTGAAATGCAAAAGCCCTTCTGAATTCAAATCCCACAGCCGCGGTCCAGTTTTCAAATCTTTGATGGCATCTCAGCCGTCCGTTTCAAAAGTCTTTCTCGATCCCCACTTTTTAGAGCTCAGTTCCACTGTCTGGAGGATAGCTTCCAAAATTTGCTCATGGAGAAGAAGAGAGATTTTGCAGATTTTCAAAGAGGGATTTTGAAATTACTCCCTTTCATCTAAGATTCACTAGCTTCTCCTCCAGATTCTTCGTTCTTCCCCTAGAATTTGCTGGGAAGAGCTTCCTCGATCAGCTGAAAGCAATTTCAGGAATTCGAATAGTCCCTTATTTGTTCTTCATATCTTCCTTCAGGTGAGTAACTGGTGTCATTCACTCCCATTTTGTTTCTTATTGCTAGTTCCTCTGTGCTTACTGCTTTTGTTTGTCTGACCCCGTGTTTTTGCAGAATGTTAAGGGACCCAAAATTTTTGCGCCGGAGTTCTGGTAAGAATGAGGAGCTTGAAAATGTGCCGGTGAATCCTAGGGATCCAGTGCAGACTCGAATTGGTTCGGACTTATCACGACCTCCATTGAATACAATTCAAGAGCCAATTCGAAATTCGGAACTAGAAAAGGAAATTGGTGTGAAGAGTAGAGTTGAAAGGACTCCCGTTAAGGCGAAGGGAAAGGAATCTGATCTTGCATTGCCCCTCCGCACGCCGGACAAGCATGGAGGAGCTGGGTTTTCGTCCAGGAAGCGGTTTGGTTGGGCTCAGAGAAGTGAATCTGGTTCTCTCCCCGACGAAGAGAAAGCTGATTCGGTTGCTTGTTCAGCACAGCCGAGCCGTGGAGTCGGAGGATGTGGAAATGGGGGTTTTTCTAACGTCACAACTCCTAGGACAACGAGGACGGTGGGAAGAGCAACCTCGAGTTATTCCGAAAGTAATTCTACGCAAAGCACGCCGACTAAAAGTGTTTCTAAACCTCCCTATTCAGTTTGTCGCAGCAAAATTGATCGAATCAATAACTTATCTGCATTGTATAAAGGGATTCCTGCTAACCCTGTACCTCCTTCGGTTGTCAATACGGTCGAAGTCCCTCACTTTGATCTCAAGGAAGACCCTTCATTTTGGATGGAACACAATGTACAGGTAATTGCATCTGTCTTCTTACTAATGTGGCCCTGTAACACTCCATTTCAGTATAATGGAATTTTCAATCTACCGAAATCCAGAGTTCCCTGATGACTTCTGCTGATTCTTGAGTGATGTTCTCTATAAATCTATGTATTTAACTATTTGAAGTCACTTTAATGGCTGTTAAATTTGTACAGGTTCTTATACGTGTTCGTCCTCTAAATAACATGGAGCGAAGTAATAATGGCTACAATAGGTGCTTAAAACAGGAAAGTGCTCAATCCATCACTTGGATTGGCCAGCCAGAAACAAGATTCACGTTTGATCATGTGGCATGTGAAACAGTGGATCAGGTATGGTTCGAGAGGAAATCCTGCCTGTTCTCTTTTTGTTGATACCTCTTTAAAGTTAAGTTCTCTTCATTTCCGTTGTTTTCTTATGACGTATCTCTCCTTTGCAGGAAATGTTGTTCAGGATGGCTGGTCTGCCAATGGTTGAGAACTGCCTGTCAGGCTACAATAGCTGTATGTTTGCCTACGGTCAGGTAAGTTTCTTCACTAATTTCCCATCTTGCAGATTAAGTAGTAGATATCTTCCAAATTTATATGAATGTTAAGTAAGCATGTATCACCTAATTTGTTCACGACTTATAATCATGACTCTTGATTATGATAATTGATATAGCTCATTCTCATTGTACTATTCGGCTTACAATTTGTCTAAAAATCAGGCAACTGATCAGCAGGAAACATTTATATTAATTGGCAACAAAGTTCATGTTTTAACAACATTCATAACTATGTTATTCATCTGCGTATGAAGAAGTAGTACAATTATCTTGCTCTGGGCATGGGATTTTATTATTTTCTTTATTTATTTTATTGAGTTTTGAGTTTGATTATGCAGACGGGAAGTGGAAAGACATACACAATGCTTGGTGAGATTGAAGATCTTGAAGTCAAGCCGAGTTCGCATCGTGGAATCACTCCCCGTATATTTGAGTTCTTATTTGCAAGGATCCATGCTGTAATTGTCACATTTTTTAGATCTCATTCTAGTATGCAGTGGTTTGAGGTAGCTTCTGACACAATTTATTTTCAATTTTCAGGAGGAAGAAATTCGACAAGATGAGAAACTGAAGTACAAGTGCAAGTGCTCTTTCTTAGAGATTTATAATGAACAAGTTACAGATCTTCTAGACCCCTCCTCCACAAATTTACTTGTAAGATTTATTATTCAATATTTTAGTTCATATGTCATTATGAATTGTTAAATAGTTTTCCATCGTTCTCCTAACTACTTTGTTTGCTCTCAGCTGCGGGAAGATGTTAAGAAGGGTGTTTATGTAGAAAATCTGTCTGAATTTGAAGTTCGGACTGTTAGTGACATTCTCAGGCTCCTGACTCAGGTTTCTGTGTTGGCTATTTCATAACTTCAATTCATGTGCACTTACTTGTTCTTGTTTGTTGATAAACTATTGTTTGATGTTTTTAGGGTTCTTCAAATAGGAAAGTTGCAGCCACAAATATGAATAGGGAGAGCAGTCGCTCACATAGTGTGTTTACATGCGTGATTGAAAGTAGGTGGGAAAAGGATTCCTCAACTAACCTACGTTTTGCTAGACTGAATCTTGTTGACCTTGCTGGTTCAGAAAGGTAAGGAATCAGCCAAAATTTTGTTAGAACTTCAGGCCACAGCATGTGCTCAAAATTTTCCGTTTTTGTATGCTTCTATTCTTATTCATCAAACCTGTATTCTGTTTAACAGGCAGAAAACTTCTGGTGCTGAGGGTGAGCGTTTGAAGGAAGCTGCTAATATTAACAAGTCACTGTCTACACTTGGGTATCTTTGCCCTTACCTGAACGCCGTTTCATCCATCTTATATTGGTTTACTTGTGCCTTGGCCTTTCTTATTGAACGGTGATTATAAATTTCAGTCATGTTATAATGGTTTTGCTGGATGTGGCACGTGGGAAGCCGAGACACATTCCTTACAGAGATTCAAGGCTAACCTTTCTTCTTCAGGTTGATAATTATTCTATCTACTCTGAATTTTCTGCTGTTAATGCTGTTTTGACCTTTCAAGACAAAAAATGCAGGATTCTCTTGGTGGAAACTCAAAAACAATGATCATTGCAAATGTTAGCCCTTCTATTTGGTTAGTTAATCAATTCTCAAATGATACTCGATTTAGTTAAGTTTTTTGTTCATGCTACTTTTTTAGGGGAAATTGTAATAGATAGCAAATAGTTTAGCAATACTTGCAAATATAGAACAAGAAATAATATTTTGCTATTGAAATTTTGTAGGGTGGGCAACCGTCAATGTTGCTAGCATCCATCATTGATACGGTCTATTACATGTCTATCAGTATCTCCATTAATGTCTAGGGTCTACACGTCTATCGGCGTCTTATTGATAAGACACTGATAAATGTCTATCATTGATAGATGTTCGAGGTTGAGAAATGTTGATGAGTTTTTTCTCGAAAATTGTGTCATAAATCTTTTTATGATGTACTAGATTTACTATTATTTTAGGCTAGATTGACATATGAGCAACTGTCCCTTTTTAAAACCCTTTATATTTTAAAAAATTTAGTTATTTTATCGTCTGTTTTGAGTTTCTTGATTCAAGAAGTTTGTCATACTTTGTGATTTCATATACAAATTTATTTTTAATCTCATTTTCTTATTCAGTTGTGCAGCTGAAACTCTAAACACCCTTAAGTTTGCTCAGCGAGCAAAACTTATCCAAAACAATGTGAGTTACCCTCAGTTAGGAACCAATTTTTTTATGACATCCTCTAAAATCTTATGACCAATCTACTGTTCATTATGTCACATATAGGCAGTTGTCAATGAAGATTCCACTGGGGATGTTATCGCACTCCAACGCCAGATACAGCTTCTAAAGGTAGTATGACGTACGTATGATTGATTAAAATTCTTAAAAAACCAATTTATACTTACGAATTTGTTTTTTTGTAACAGGAGGAGCTTGCTTTCCTCAAACGGCAGAATGTTTCCAGGTCTCTGTCCTTTGATTCCTTTGTCAAAGATACAAATGAACATGAAGATGATGCAGAAAATATATGTGATATGGACATTTCACAGGATGAAGATTCCTTTGAATCTCAATCAAAAGACGTTAGAATGTCAATGAAACAGGTATACTTGGCTGCATTAAATTTGTAAATTAGTCACTTGTATAAATATTGCTACTAATTCTGTTGGGAGTAATTTACCAGTAATAATTTATCTCCATATTCTGATGAGATAGATTGTACATTGGAAAACTTCCAGTGTAAACTCGCTTCCCTTCAACTTATTTTCTTTCTTGTGAGACTCTAATTGCAGTTTTAAGATTTCTTCTGTGGTGGAATGTCTTTGCATTTTTTTGTTAGTTTCTCTTTCTAATAATCTTGGTTGAAATGGCATGAAAAAAAAACAGTTTAAATCTTTGGAGATAACACTTGCTGGTGCCTTGAGGAGGGAAAAAATGGCAGAAGCTTCCATCAAGCAACTTGAAGCTGAAATTGAACAGCTGAACCGTTTGGTATCTCTCTTCTTTTTATTCCTTACTCTGAAATTCTTTTAATTTAAGCAGTAATTTATCTTCTAAACTGCTTCTCAGGTTCGTCAAAGAGAAGAAGATACAAGGTGTTCTAAAATGATGCTTAAATTTCGAGAAGACAAAATTCAGAGAATGGAGTCACTTCTTGGTGGTTCAATTCCAGCAGAAACATATCTTCTTGATGAGAATAGAGGTTTATCAGAGGAGATTCAGCTACTTAGAGCCAAAATAGATAGAAATCCTGAAGTTATTCGCTTTGCCTTGGAGAACATTAGGCTTTTAGATCAGCTTAGAAGGTAATTTTTCTTTATTTTTTCTTTCTTTTCCTTTCTTTCTCTGCAGTCATCAATGTTTAATCTTCAATAGACTTCAAGAATTCTATGAGGAGGGGGAGAGAGAAGTACTCATGGACGAAGTATCCAAATTACGAGATCAGGTACTTAGAAAAGTTGAAGTTGTGCACTCATTGCTGTGTGAAAGCTTTTGAAAACTTGTTGTAGAAGTTGTTTTCATTTTCTTTTGAAGAGCCTATTAACTTTTTCTTTTTTTTTTTTAATTAAAAAACAGCTGCTTCAATTTCTTTCTGGGAATTTGGAACAGCATGATGATTCAAAACCTACCATGCAACCTCAGGTCAGTATTTATGTACTGGTAACAAATTTTTGTTCCAGGGACATGATCTTATGAATAGCTTGATGGAATGAGAAGGAAAATGAATAGAATTATTTTTTTCTTTTCTAGATTTGTCATCATTTTTGTATGCTTCTCTCTCTAAGAGGAACAAACCACGTGTGTAGAATGCTTGCTAATATCTATTACAAGCTCCATTTGGAATGCTTTTTCCCGGTCGTTTTGCCAAAAGTATATAGAATTCACTACCTCCACATGAAAAGGACGTTGCTCAGGGCTGTTCGGGTGTATTTTTCAAACACTGTTTTATATATGAATCATTTTAATACTGTTTTCAATTTTAAAAACTGTTCCAAAAGATACTTTCTAATTCTGTTTTCATTTATTTCTTCTCCATATAACTCATTTTAATTAAGTTATACTTGAAACATAATTAATGATCATATATCAACACAATAAGAAAGAACACAACTATTTTTTGTCCTAAAACTATTTTTAGATCAAAAAATTGGAGGTTCAATTCCCCACCCTACATATCGTTAGATCTCAAAAAAATCGTTCTTACGAATTATTCTTCTAACATAAAAAAAGAAACGTGTTCCTTTTAAGAATGTTTTTAAACATGAATACCCTTGTGTTCTGTTTTCTTTCATGTTTTCCCATACGTACTGTATTTGAGACTGAATTTTGCTTTGACTATCTACAGTTGAAGAAAGCACTTGATGAGCTTGAGGAAACCAAGTGCAGTCTAGAATCTTGCCTAGAGGAAAATGAAAAACTTAGGTGGTGAGTATATTTCTTATTTTTGCCCCAAGTTTATTTAGCTAGACTTCTAAAAAAAGGGCCAACTGCGATTATGACATAATATGGTTGCATATTGCAAAATTTGCAATCCAATAAACTAATTGAAATCATAGCGAAAAGTATTATCTGCATCTATTATGAAACTCAACGATTACTTTAAAAAATGGACGGATTATTATTACCAAGTCAATCAATAATTAGAAAATGGCAAGAATACCTATGTCAATCAACAATTACAACAATAATTCAAATTAATATTTAGGTTAGTTATCAAATATCTTCCACTATTATAGTCTTAAAAGTTTAAAATTCATTGATAATCATCATCAAGTTAATTAGTTATTAATGATTTATTTCTTAAAAAATCTTTATTTGCAATTGCTTTAATAAAAGGCATATCGACAAATATTTTAGAAAAGGAGTTCACCCAATTGAATTTATCTTTCTTAATCTTGAAAAATGAGACTGTTTTTAGTAATTTATTGAATTGAGAAGTGACTTGTTCATTTAATGCAGGGAGATAGACCAATTGCAATCAACGCTGAATAATTTAAAATCTGAACAGCATCAAGATGACAGTATTTTCACTGTTGAGGTATTTTGTTCTAAAGTAAATTTCTTCAAGCTTTAATCCTGGCTAGAAAGATGAGAAGATAATAGAGCCTTGAAAAGATTAATTGCTTAATCAGTTGTTGAATAGTATGTGCACTGGTATATTATTGTCCTACAAAGTCCCAAAACATTTATGACCTCTTCAATTGGAACTTCCAGGGATCAGATCGTGAAGATTTGGTGCCAAAGACAATCCATCATAAGCTGAGAGAGGGGAATGACATTTCTTTACTGGAGAAACATGATGAAGAAATTGTGAACTTGCATATGGAATTGGATGTACTTAAAGTCATTCTCAAAGAAGGAATGCTGTCTCACAGAGAAGTTGATGATAGAGCCATATGCTTGAACAACGATCTTCAGCTTACAACAAAAGATCTTCTACATATGACTGAACGGTGTGAAGCTGTAAGCAGAGAATTAGAAGAAGCAAAATCCATTATTGAAGCTCTTGAATCCCAACAAATTCTCTCAATCAATGAGATTGAGGAACTGAGGAATAGCAACTGTCAAAACTTGCATATTATGAGTGAACGGGAACTTGAAATCGTGTCTTTAAAGAAGTGCCTTGCTCTTAAGGAGATACGGGATAATTCACCTGAATCACCTCCGGTCCATTCAAGGTTTAATGAATCCCGACTGCGTACAAAACTGAACAGGATGCAAATTTCTCTTGAAAAGGCCAAGAGACTGAATGCTTTGTGCAAGAATGATCGTGAAAGTCAAGCTTCAAGTGAAAAGGAAATTAATGAAGTTTGCCGGCAAGCTGAAGCTGAAACTGCTGAGGTGATTGTCTGCATGCAGGAAGAGCTAGCAATACTTCAGCAAGAAGTCCAAGAAAGTCATTTGAAACAAATAGAGATGAAAACAGATGTAAATACTTTGGAATCTGAATTGAAGCATCTGCAGGATGAACTCCAGCTTATGACTGAAAATAATGAAAGTTTAAGTGAAATACTTGAGAAAAAGGACCTGGAACTGATAACATTGGCTGAAGAATGGGAATTGCTAACCAGTGAGATGGAAGAAATTCTTGGTGACGGATGTGCGGCGCTCATGGATGCCTCTAATCACCTTGACAATATATCTTCTTCCTTTCCAGAGAAAAGGATTTGGATTTCTGAACAAGTGAGTAGAATGACAAGAATCTTATCTGAGAAGGACTTGTTAATTGAAGAGCTCAGAAGGTGTTTGGAGGATGCAAACAATAAAAGAATTGACATGGAGACCATGCTTAAATCTCTCAGAGGAGCAGCATTAGCTATTACAGAAGCTCACCAGCAGGAGTGCAAAGAGAAAGATATGGAGATCCTTCATTTGACATCCCAGGTTAAAGAAAAGGCTACAAGTCTCGCAGAAATGGAAGACACCATTAAACTAGCAGAAGACCGCATTAGAAAAACATCAGTTTGTGCTACAATTGCTTTTATTGTTGTTAATAGATTATCGGAGTTGAACAATTATCATTCTGATGCCTTGAAAGATAGGGATATCCAGTTCAAAGAATCAGTAGAATTAAACTTGAGGAAAGATGCCCATGTTGAGCACCAAGCCGCTTTGATCACAGCAGCAGATGAACAGATAGTGCATCTAAGGGAACAACTAGAAGAATCAAGAGGAACTTGTGCTACACTGGGAAAGCAACTTACCGAGGAGCGAGAATATCATTCTTCTATGCAAGTAAAGCTTGATGAATTTGAGAATGATAAAATTTTGACAATTGAGAAGCTAGCTGAGCTAAAAACTGGTGTTTCTACTCTAAGGTCGTGCATGAGCTCAAATATGGAGGAGCATGCCAATTCTGAGGGACAGAAATTGGAGGATATATTTTCATCTTTGGGTGAGAGGGAAGAACGATGGGTAAGCTAAAATTTTGCTTTCTGATTGACAAGATAGATCTTGAGGTTAGTTGCATGCATGTATGATATTTAATTATGACTGAAGGTTGGTTTCCTTATTGCCAAATGTGAAATATGTTGCAGACAGGTGCAAACACACATCAAGAAAACTACAAAGACCGGGATGAAGACCAAAGAGATCAAATTTTTTATCGTTCTCCTAAAGTGGGAAAAGAAGTACCTGGCTTTCCATGTAATAAGAAAAACTTAGAATCTCAAATCTTCCGTAACATTTCTGATAGAGATATTACCATCACACTTCTGAAGCAACAAATAGAGTCTGCACTAAGAAGCTTGAGTGTGGTACAAGATCAGATGGTCAAGCTTCAAAATGAGAAGAAAGAGATGTTGATCAATGAAAAACAGAACCAGGAGAACTTACAGTGTTTAACGAATCAAGTATTTGTGCTGCAAGAAACAATGAAAAAGTTCGAAGAGCGATCTGAGAATGTGATGGAAGCTTTTAGTCACAGGCTAAAAGCATTTGAACAGACTGTGCTAGAAGCTGGTTCTCATTGGTGCCAAACAAAAGAGGTAAAAATGATTATTTTTCTTAACTATATATACATACGTGTATGTATCTATATATGTGTGTGTGTATATATATATTGGACACATCTTAACTATATTTCATAGAATCCTCATTCCCATTATTCATTCTTAAATTTGTCATCTAATCTGTATTTTGGTAACACTTTATTTCCCACATATTTCAACAATATAATTTTTCTTTTCTTGGTAATAAAAAAATGCATCCTGAGTTTAATTCATATTATGGATCTTTTTCTTTCTCTTTTACTATAAAAAAATGCGGCAACGAGAAACAACTGTTCCAGACTAGAATATCAACATGGCTATGGACCCACACCCATTGTTCCAGACTAAACCTTTTTGGAAGTCTTATATGTCGTCTATCTTTGCATTCGTATTCCTATTTTTAATCAATGACGTATCTTTTTTAGTCATCATCATCTCACTAGGGTGTATTTTTTTTAAGTTTAGAATTTGTAGAATTCAATGAAATGACAGTCTGATTTTTATAGAAAATTTAGCTACTGTGACCTGACCAGTTACCAACGTTTTCTAAGCCATCATTTCACGTCTTACAGTTACTTGAACTGGAAGTTGAGGAAGCAAAGATCGTTTCAGTTCACAAGACTGCTGAGGCATCTTGTATTCTTGATAAATTTGAAGAAGCACAAGAGATCATAAAAGAAGCAGATATTATGATTAATGAGCTCATGATAGCAAATGAAACGTTGAAGCTTGAAACAGAAAGGCTAAGGGAAAAGGAAATGTTGCAAATCACTGAGCAGGATCTATTGAGGAAAGAAGTTAAAAGCTTGCAACACAGTGATAGTTTAACACGTCAGAAATTCCAAACTTTAGGGGAACACCTATGCTCAAATTTAATGGAAATTGAGGCTTCCATGGCAGAACTGGAGGATGCCTTTGCAGAGGTCCAGACTACTGTCAACAGTAGTTTTATGTCTTTTGCCTCCGAGATCCAATCAATGAAGTCTTTACAGCTGGACTCAACCAAGTTTGTCCGCTCATGTTTTGAGAATGTATGGTCTGAAATAATTGTGAAGGACTGTGCTATATCAGTGCTACACCTCTGTCACATGGGTATCCTATTGGAAACTGTGATGGGGTTAAATGCTGAGAATGGTTTGCTTCATCATGGGCTGTGTGAATCGGATGTTGCAGTAGCTGGTTTAAGGGAGCAAAACCTCAAATCAAAAAGAGAGCTTGATATGTGTAAAATTCTGAAAGGAAAGTTGCTGTCTGACCTCAAGAACGGTTTTCATCGCATCCAAAAGAAAGAGGAGGAAGCAGGAGAAATGAATTCAAAGCTAAATTCATTCGAGAAAAAGATATCAGACCTTCAAATCCAAGAAGAACAAATGTTGCAAAGGTCAAATTACATGGGACACCAACTTGTTGTTTTGATGAAGGAGCTGGACGACAGTAATAAAAATTTAATGTCAACACTTTTGGATCAAGAGGTATTGCTGAAGAAAAGGGAAAAATTCCTCCAGTCCCAGGCTGATTTTTTTGTGACAAATTTGTGCGTGAGAGTTTTAGAGTCCTGTATTTTGGATTCAGAATTAGAAGAGATGACTCTCCAGAAGTCTATGGCTGATAGAGACCGTATCAATTGTCTAGCAGTTTTTGAGATTTTGAAGGAAAAGACAATTATATTCAAGGTTGATGAAGAGTTGAGAGAACAACTCTTACTAGACAAGGAAGCTGAGGTTGTACTTCTCCAAAAAGAAATTCATGAAGCACAAATCGAGCGGCAAAATTTATTGTCAAAACTAAATGAAAGCAATTTTAGTGCGAGGAAGATGGATGAAATGAACAAAACTCTTGAACAAGAAATTCAGCTGCTAAAAGAAGCCAGTGGTTCAAATGATGTATTGAAAGTTGAACTGGATGAAGTTCAGGGGAAATGTCAAGCACTTGAAGCTGAATGTGATAGATTACTGAAGGATTTGGAAACGAAAGAAAAGGTCTTGGAAGATTCTTCCCGTCAAATATGTGCCCTTGATCAGCAAAATCAGAATTTATATACTGATCTTGAAGTGAAAAATATTGAATTGCTGGAGCTACAATATTTACAGCTCATACTTGCAGAGGTATTGTGCTCAAAAAGGCAGGATTTTGAAATTTGTGTTAACCATGTAAATACACTAAATGAGGAGAATATTTTTTTGAGAAATAAACTTCAATATTATGAGGAAAATGTCTATGCAGTTCTCAGGAATATGAGTATGACTCTTTCAAAATGTGTTGATTCAATGGACATGTTAGATGTTGACTGTACCAGAGCAGTTGATGGGTTGAATGCAGGTTTTCCATTCTTGGATAAGATGTATCATGAGATGTGGGAAAATGTAGGGAAGATATCTAATTTTCTGGAAGAGTTTAAATACCTGGAGTTGAGTGCTAAGGAAGTGGAATTGGAGAATCGGTCTCTTCAATCTGAGTTAATAAGAAAGGACGAAATTCTTGCTGGACTTCTTTTTGATCTTAGCTTGCTCCAGGAATCTTCTTCTAAAAATAAGGATAAAAAGGATGAACTAGATGAGATAGTTGCTTCAATGCAGGCTTTAGATAACGAGCTTGCAGGAAAGTCAGCTGAGCTTGATAAGGCCATTGCTCATACCCATATGCTAGAAGCTCATTTGCAGGATAAAATGGACATAATCTATGATCTGGAGCTCAATTTATCAACAGAACGTGATTCTAAAAAGTTAATTTTCAGTGAAAATCTGGAGCTGAAAGCACAAGTTGAAAATGTTCTAGTAGCAAAGAGTTCAATGGAGGAGGAGTTGTCAGAAAAGAGGAAGGTTACTGAAGACTTGGAAATGGAACTGTTAAAAGTGGGCAATCAACTAAGCCAAATGAATGAACTGACAAGTGAAAGAGATCATCTACAAATGGATTTGTGTAGTGTGAAAGAAAAGCTAGAAACATTAGAAGCGCTAGCTGATGAAAATGAGGCAAAACTGATGGACGCTCAACAGGTATGTTTCATTAATAAGCCAATAAATGGATATGTAAGGAGGTGGATTTCTTTATTCATAATTTTATCCTAATATAGTCATGAATGTCAATGGCAGAATGCTGAATCACAAAAGATCTATGCTGAAGAGAAGGAGGCTGAGGTGAAACTCTTAGAGAGGTCTGTGGAAGAGCTAGAGTGTACCATAAATGTATTGGAAAATAAGGTGAAGTATAAAAGTCAAAAGTGATTACACGTTACTTGAAATTCTATTTTTGACAGTAGTATAGCATTCACCTTAATATACTGATGTCCGGACCCCATTTTAGGTTGACATTGTAAAGGAAGATGCTGAACAGCAAAGGTTACAACGAGAAGACCTTGAATTAGAGCTTCATGCTGTGAAGAATCAATTGCAGAATTTTAGAAATGCTGATGCTGACTTGAAAAGGTACAGATCAGTGCACTTGTTCCATTTTCTTCAATGGTTTGGATATGTTCTGTAATTTATAAATTAAAACATTGATGATCTTTTTCTTCCTGTAACTGTAGGTATGTAAACGAGATAGAGAAAAACCATGCAGAAGCATGTAAACACATACAAATTCTTGAAGGAGATGTTAATGAAAAAATCACTGAGGTAAGGTTTATTGGTGAATTCTTATTATAATGAATTACCTCTACAATATAAATTATAACTGAAATCGTTTTATATGACTTTGAGCCTAAATTGGCTTTGATCTGGAGTAGCATCTCATTTTAATTATGTTTTAACAGATTGCACAACTTAAAGCCCATATCTCTGAGCTAAATTTGCATGCAGAAGCACAGGCTAATGAGTATAAGCAAAAGGTAACCATATTAGGTTTCCAGTTTTATTCTTTGCCTCTGACTTCTCACAAGTCTCAAATCCCTGAACAGTTCAAATCCTTGGAAGCCATGGCTGAACAAGTTAGACCTGAAGGACATTCCACATATGTCTCTAATTCTTCTTCGAACAAGATGGACAAGCATGCATCCAGGCCACGTGGTTCTGGTTCACCTTTTAAATGCATTGGATTGGGCTTGGCTCAACAAATGAAATCTGAGAAGGATGAAGATCTCTCTGCTGCAAGGATTCGCATTGAGGAGCTTGAATCTTTGGCAGTTAGCAGACAAAAAGAGGTGCAGTGCATGTAAACCTATTTTCAAGTTCATATATCTATAAATATTTTAAATTTATGGGCCCCAGTTTACGTTGATTTTTGGGCGTTCACTTCATACAGATATTTGCACTGAATGCAAGATTAGCTGCTGCTGAGAGTATGACGCATGATGTCATCCGAGACTTGCTAGGCATCAAGCTCGATATGACCACTTGCATGGTACTTTATGCAACCTTCTTTGTTATTTTAATAGTCTTCTACTGTCATGACCATTTATCTGATGGGTTATGTCCAATAAATTTTAGAAGTTATCACCTTACAGTTTCTTGTTAATGAAACATTAGCATTATTGTCTGCTTGAGAATGATTCCTTACCTTGTGCTGTTTAATATTACTAGTCACTGTTGGATGATAATCATCAGCTGCAGAAGACATCAGAGAGTGCCCAATTTAACATTTTTGAGTCCCAGGAAAAGGTAATCTTAGTTTTGACAATATTGAAACTTGGTTGAATGTCAGTTTTTGTTTGTAATTTTAGAACAATTTCCATTTTCAGGAGAAGGTCATAAAACTGAAGAAACAGCTCAGTGAGTTTGTTGAGGAGCGCCGCGGGTGAGCTTATATTATCAGTCACATGTAGAAGATTCAATTTTCAAACTTGTTTAGCTATTTCCATCATATTTATTAAGTGTCCGCCTTTTCAGATGGTTGGAGGAGATAGACAGAAAACAAGCTGAAATGCTGGCCTTACAAGTTGCTTTGGAAAAAGCTCGCCACAAGGATCAGTTACTTAAGACCGAAAACGAAATACTGAAGGTGTCTGGATGCAAAAAATTTTTTTATCTTGTTTTCCCCCTTATTTCATTTTCCCTTACTGCCTTTTTATTCTGCATAGTCGGAGAACTTCAATCACAAGCAGAAAGTATTGGAACTTGAAGGAGAACTTAAGAAATTGTCTGGTCAGCAAAATCTCCAGCAGCGTATTCACCACCATGCCAAAATCAAGGTTAGATAACGTCATTCTAGTTCAAGTTTGGCAAACTCCCTATTGTGTAGCATTTCGCTTATGAACCTAATGCGTGTGATCTTTCCCCCATTTTCTTTGCTCTTTTATATACCACAGGAAGAAAATAACATGCTGAGAGCACATAATGAAGACCTAAGTGCCAAGCTGCATCGAACCGAGATTCTTCTTTCACGTGTGAAAGAAGAGCTTGCTTATTTTCGCACCTCCTTTGGAAGGACTCCTGACATCAACTTTGACGAGGAGCAACGACTAAACACCAAGTTGAAGGTTAGTACTCTGCAAATGAAACATAATGGCTTGGAAACTATATCTTCATTGTCTAACGAATCTGTTATAGGAAACCGAGGAAGAGAAGGTTCAACTAGCTCGGAAGCTACTGAGTTTATGCACCAGTGTTTTAAAGGTAAGTTAAACCTCATGAAATGGAAGAAACTAAAGGTAGTAGATGATAGGAACCAAATAATGAAATTGTTTAGGAGATGAAAGCTAAGAAAAATACAATAACTCTCGGGTAATTCTTCAAGGTACTTGGACCTTCCCCACTCTTGATCACACTCAAGCTTGAAGGCCCATAATATAGCCTACCTTCTCTTTTCATTCCATCTATTTATCGTTAAATCACTACTAAACCTAAAAGTTTAAGTTGATGGGTCACGGTAAATTTAATCTTTTATAGATAATTTAACACTCTCTCTCATTTGTGGGCTTGGAAATTTGCACAAAACCTAACAAGTGATAATCAATATTAAATAGAGAGAAAACGACATTACATAATTCAAATATGGGACTTCATGCTCTGATACTACGTTAAATTTAATCTTTTATAGTTATCTTTTAACTCTATAGCCAACTCTTACTAACAAACTCCTTGGCTAATTACTAAGATACTCTTAGTGTCCCAACAATATTTCTAACGACTACCCCAATGGCATTCCCAACAGTAGAAAAGATTCTTCTTCTTCACAACTCTGGGATACTGTGTAGTTAATACATAGTTCTTCTATCTTTGCAGGCCGCTGGAGTAACTAAACCTGCGTCTGACGTATGCCCTGCTGTGGCTGAGGAAGCTCTGGAGCAGCTAATGACTAGAGTTTCTTCAGTAGAACGAGAGCTGCAGGATTTCAAATTCAAGGTATCCTACAATATATTTATTACTCTCTCATTTTTTTTCTTTTTTTTTAGCACAACAATTTGAGGGCACGGGAGATCGAACCTTCGACCTCGAGGGAAGGAGTATATATCAATTACCACTGAATTTTGCTTATGTTGGCTATTACTCTCTCATTTCTCATGTCGTTAAATTGCAAAATTCTTATAACTGAAATCCTGGATGGTTTGTGTTCATGTACAGAACAAAATTGCCAACGAAAGAATTCGATTATCGGAAATTGTGCCACAGCCTTCACCAAGAAGTTCAAAGAATGAAGACAATTGGCAGTCTCCTAAAAGACTGCTTCAAGCTTCATATTTTTCTGCTTTAGATCGATGAGAGGTGCCAGTCGCCAAACAAAGGTGTTTTCGAGGTGATTTTTTTATAATTCAATTTATTTATTTTTTCTTCCAGGAAATTGTAATTAGGCTTTTGTCAGCATCCATGAGTATTGGTTGAGCTGTCTATCTCTTGTTGACAGTGTAAATATTACTGTTAATTATGATTAAATAGTAAAGATAATCAAATGTAATAGCCGTGTAAATTAAAGATTCTGAAAGTTTCAGGTTTTAAAGTTGGTACTTTTCTAAAATTTAAAACTATAAATAAATATTTTGTAAGTTTAAGAATTAAAAGAGAATAATCTTGAACATTTATAGATTAAAATGAGGTTAAAGGCTAAAGGTATTGAGTACTTAATTAGCTTATGCATACCTTACGAATTTATTTTTAATTAAATATAGAATTCCTACTCCTTTGTGGCAAAGGTGCTACTCCTTTTTTCTCCTAAGAAAATTTAAAATTATATTTACAATTTGTATTATTATTTTGGTTAAAATAATATTTTTGTCTATATACTTTCAGCTCTCTTCGTTTCATTTTGTGTTTTCGAAGTATTATTTTGGTAGGTGTACTTTCGATTTTAATTTATTTTAGTTTATATATTTTTAATATATTTGTTTTGTTACGTATATTTTTAAAAAGTCACCATTTTTGTCTCTATTTTAAAAATTTTTAATAAAAATTTTATGCATGATGAAAATTCAAATACAATTCATTAAATATATTGAGTGTAATATCGTTTTGAAATTGTGATACAAAAGTAAGATTAAAAATAAAATCAATAGACTAAAATGGTCATTTCTTAGCATGGTATTAAAAGTGTGTCAAAACGTAACATGTTCATATATACATGGGTTCGACATTAACATTCATAGTAAATTGACATTTTCATCATAGTAAAAAAATTGATAAAATATTAAAAATATCAACAAAATATCACTAATATATATATAATATTAATATCAATAATTTTTAACTTATTTAAAAATGGAAAAATGTCTATTTGTTAATTTAAATATTTTTTATAATTTTTATAATCTCTCATTAGAAATATCTATACATCTTATCAATATTTTTATGAAGAATCAATATTTTCATGAAATTGAGAATTCGACATTTCCATCAATATCGATGTTTACTCTGAATCAAAAGAAACACTTTAAAAATATATGAATTAAATGAACTAAAATTAAAAGTGAAAAAATACATGCATCAAAATAATATTTTATCATTCTATTTGTGAGTTCAACGTATCAAACAATTATCCATGATTGATAGATTTCGAAACTATATCCATCGACATTTAAAGCAATCGTTTTCATAAGAATATGATCCAAAATTCTTCCTAGTACCATTACAGAGCAGATATAGACTTCCCCTTCTGGTTTCCATCTTCTTCAACCTTCAACAAAACACCAATTTCGACCACAAATCTTTCCATGGCCGCAGCAGGCAATACCAGAGGCACCACAATCCCATTTTCCCCATTTTTGTTCTTCAAAGTTCCAAAAAAACTCGCCACTCCAAGAGTTCCATTATGCCCTGCCTCCGCCGGCCCGCCGTACGCCGCCGCTCCCCACCCAAAATCCACATTCTCAAATCCAGCCCTCCGAACATCAGACACTACAAACGCCCCACCGCCCACATCGAATCCCGGCCGCCCATTCATCGCCATCAAATCCGCCGCCGATTTCATGTACTCCGCCGTCACCTCCGCCTTCGCCCTCCGGACCAGATCCGCTGCAAACGCCACTGGGTTCCGGCAGAGCTCGCCGGCGGTGGTGGCCGCGGCGGCGAAGGCGATGGCGTTGCCGTAGTACCCGGATGGCAATGGGGGGTCGTTGAATTTGGAGCGGGCGTCCACGGGGCAGAGTATGCGGACTTGTTGCTCTGGATTGGTGCGAAGGGCTTTTGTGCGGAGGCGCCAGAGGATGTCGAAGGCGGAGCATTGGCGGCGGAGGTGGAGGGGTAGGGTTTTGCGGACGGCGGAGATGTCGGCGGGGCCAAAAATGAAGGAGCGGTGAGAGACGTCGGCGAGGGGAGCAGCGGCACCGGCGGTGATTTTGGGGTATTCGTGGCGGGGGAATGTGGGCGCCGGAGGGTCTCTGGCGTTTAAGAGAGCTCTTTGCCAGACCGGAAGGATGGATGGAGTGGAGGCGCCACGGGCGATCTCGGCAACTGCCGTCATGACTTGGGCGATGCCGGAAGCATCGCTCATGGTGTGATTTAGACGAAGGGCAAAGATGAAACCTCCGCACTTGAGTCGGGTAACCTATTTGATCAATTAAAACAATTAAATCAAACTGCTAATTCTTTGGTTGTCAAACAAATTTTCAAGCTATCCAATCTCACGAGAGTGTTAGATAACTTATTAGTTTAAATCCTCTTTCTAATTCTTGAACTTTTAAAATATTTGTTTTGAATTCTGATCTACATATATTTTTAGTACATCAAAATTAATTATATTAATTTATTTTGATTTTAACAAAATCAACAACATAACTTTGAATATGTATAATAACATATTAATATAAGTATGTATTTAAATTATGCAGATTAAAATATGTTAAAATCAAAGAAACGCTTTAGTATAAAGTAATGTTTATATTATAAGAAATATATTGGTTGTAATGTCGTGTTGAAATTATGATAGAAAAAATGATATTACAAATAAAATCAAACGACTAAAATGGTCACTTTTTAAAAATACAAAGACCAAAATGAACATTTTAAAAGTACATCGACTAAAATGAACCAAAACTTAACATTTTGAAAGTATTGGAATTAAAATGAATCGATGATAAAAGTACCTGGACTAAACTAGTATTTTAATATTTTTTTATATAATAATTCAGATACTAAAATAGACTTTTAGGGAAGTTTAAGGACTCAAAAAAAATTAATCTTATTTTATTTCTTTTTAGTTGATTAAAATGTACTTCTCTAAAGTTTGAAACAAAAATAGAATAATTTTACAAATTCAAGTAAAAAATATAATTTAAACCTCATATTTTAAGGATAAAATATCAATAATGACTAAATATAGTCTAAGTTTTCATATATATATATATATATATATATATATATATATATTGGACGTGATTATAATTTAATTGTTATAATATTACGTCAATTTGCATATAACTGAATATATTTTGGACATGATTATAATTTAATTGGTAGAATATTACGTCAATTTACATATAGTTGAATATATTTTGGACGTGATTATAATTTAATTGGTAGAATATTACGTCAATTTACATATAGCTGAATATATTTTGGACGTGATTATAATTTAATTGGTAGAATATTACGTCAATTTGTATATAGCTGAAGTAGATAAAATAGTTATGCTGAAGTAGATAAAATAGTTAATTGTTATTACTGGTAATGGCAGTTTGTAATGGCAGTTTAAAGTATTATTGAACTAAAATAAATTTGTAAGGTATTTACACATAGATGGACCTATGGATTTTTAAAAAAATATTTTTCGTCCCTGTACTTTGACTAAAGTAACAATTTAGTCCCTGAACTTTAGTTTGTAACGATTTAATCCATGTATTTTCAGATTGGTAACAATTTAGTCCTTGAACTTTAATATGTAACAATTTAGTACTTGTAATTTAAAGTTGGTAACGATTTAGTCCTTATCGGGAAATTTTTTTTGTTAAATTTCTTATACATATAGATTGACAAACTAAAGAGGAACCAAATATGTTTATAATTACAAAGATTAAATTGTTATACAATAAAAATTTGACACTTAATTTTAATAAATTTTTTTACAATAGGGACTAAAATTGTTACAAATTTTAAACGGTAGTGATTAAATCATTACAAGATAAAGTTTAATGACTAAATTGTTACTTTAGTGAAAGTATATGGACTAAATCGTTTCAAACCAAAATTCAAGGATTAAGTTGTTACTTTAGTGAAAGTACGTGGACTAAATGTGTTTTTTAACCTTCTTTTTTCTTAAATCAATAGTATAGTTTTAAACTTTAGCTCAGCTAACCGGTTAAAATACCTATTTTTAACTGTACCTTGTCAATTATATTCCACTTGGAATTTGATTTTAACAATTGTAACAATTTTTAGAGTTAAAGGGTGATTTATGCAGTTTGTAATCTTCAAAGGTGAAAGTTGGAGGATGTGATTCTAACAAACCGAATAATTTTTTGTTGATTTTTTTAAACTTTTGCTCTTCTTTTTTATTTTTGAAATTTCTAACCAAAGTAGGCAAATTTATTACATTTTTAGTTCGGATAACTTTTAGTATTTTTCAATTTTAATTTCTTTGTTTTTTTTAAGTGTTATATACTCTTCATAGCTTTTAAAAGTTTTATATACTATTCATATTCTTTGATCATAATAATAATAATATATCATACATAGATAAGCAAAACATAACTCAACTGACTCAAACATATTTGCACAGACCAAAAAGTGTACTAAATAATAATTAAAAAAAAGCAAATTTACTATACCTGGACGAGCAACAATGGACAATTAAGAATCCCACCATGATTTGGAACATCACAAAGAAGTTCTTCTAGGCATGGGAATGGAGGTCGAGGAGTATCACCGAACTGTTCAAAAGTCACATCTGCTTCAATGAACAAGATACCTTCACCCGTACACTCCACAAACAGTTTCTTGCCTGCAAAAGGATAGTAAAACACCAACATCTCTGCAATTGCCTCTTTTATTACCTTTGCTGGATCACTTCCCTCCATGTTCGGATTATGCTTGTAGAATTGTATAATCGGAAGTAGAAATCTGAGGCCTTCTTGATCATCGATATCAGAAAGTTGCTTAAACTCGTACGGTGTAGGCTTCGGCTTCGCTGGAACGACCAACTCCGATCGGCCCCGTCGTACTTTAAAGGCTAGACAGATTGTTGATAGCAATATTGCCATCGGAGATCATAAGTGTACGTAGATAGTTGAAGTTGTCTTGCTTATAAAAAGAAAAATCTTGCAGGGAAATGATGTTTCCAACAAGGTATCTCTATGATACCTTTTCTTCTGCCTAATTTATGGCAACTCTACTAGAGTTAGTTGTTAGTTGATTTTTGGCGATCTTGAGTTTTTACTGTTGAAATGGGAATGGTAGGACTGTTTTAAAAATAGGCCGAAGAACATGTGGTACCTTTTTACTTTATCTTAAGATTTGACTCATAAAAGGTAAAAATTGAACAGATTTGTTCAGGGAGTTTGCAACCAGTGTTTTTTAAGTCACAGCAAAATAATGATTAAAAAATACGGATTCAAATATACTTAATTTTAGTGATCATTACCTATTTTTAACGATTAATGAAATTCTATGATTTTTTTTAATAATGCTAAACGTTAAAGTATTTACGAAAATATGTCACTTTCCAAACTATTTCAAAAAATAATGTTTTTCAAGAGACGACATGTGAAGTGGCAAAGACTAATCGTCGTCTCTTCGTGCTATTTCCAAAACATTATTTTTTGAAATAGTTTGGAAAGCGGCATATTTTCGTAAAGTGGCATATCTCGTTTCCAATTTTTGAAAAACATAAGTGTTTGCTAATTATTTTTAAGAAACATTTTCAAAATTATATACAAATTTTGGAAACAACAAAATCAAATTTCTTGTTTCTGATTCATGTTTACAATTTTTTTTTATCACTTTTAAAAGATCACACAATAAATTCTTTTTGAATTTTCTTCCAACTTTAACCTTTCTCTAATCTAAAATTTTACAAAACAAAAAATAAAAAGGGGTTACTAACACGTTTTTGTTTCTTTTTTCGTGAGAAAATGTGAAACTAGAAGCAAGAATCAATAACATTACCAAGCTTTTTTCTTTTTAATTTAAAAAGAGGAAATAAAAAACTAGAAACAACTACGTTACCAAATGAACCCATAAGAAAAACCTAAAAGTAAATTATGAACTATAAAAGAGTGGTTGAAATTATTAAAGAGCCATAATAAGTTTTGTTATATCGTTTCCAAAAGTCTACTAAATTATTTAAGGTTCAATTTAAAACCCCTCCACCTGGGTAGGTGACCTGTTCTTATATTTTCTTTTTTTTTTACTAATTTTGTCAAATGCTATCATAACTTTTTTATATGCGAAAATAAAATGGATGATCAATCGTCATCATATAATTCAATAAGAAAATTCTTCAATTTATTAAATATTGATCACAATTATTTTTACCTTTGATTGAGTTGTTTTATCATGACTCAACTAACATAGGTTGAAAATTCAACTATGCTCAAAATGGATTATACCCCTCACATGTACTAACCTAAATTAAATTATAATGATAGATTTATATGATCAGAAGTTGATATCTAAGACTTTCTTGGTCATCGGTATCGTAAAGTTTGCTTGAATTTATAGCACTTGTATACTTTGTTGGAGCAACCGATTTCGACTGGCACCTTGTTCTCTAAAGACGAGAAGAATTGTAGATAGCATTGCCATAAAAAAGAAATGTATTTTGGATATAGAGAGATGGGATAAACTAAAACTAAGGAGTTTGTGGAAAATTAAATTGGGCTACTTACCTATTTTTGAAAAATTAAGACAAAATAATGTGACCGGTACATTTATGTCATTAGATGTATGAAAGAAATTGTAAAAAGTATTTTATATTTGTGACAGTCTCATTCAATAATAATTTTTCTTTTTCTTTTTTTTTTTTTTTGAAATATATATAAGTTTGAGCTCAAACCGCAAAATCTTCCGAGGAAATTATTTCCCAAACTAGGTAAACAAAAATGATAATTTAACCTGAAATTACTATGCAACAATCACATCACACAAAAAATTAGGATGATTTCGGAGCATTAGTCAAATGCTTAGTTCTCTTTAAAATAACAAAATAATTCTCTAAACTTCCAAAATTATATCTACTAGATCCACTTTAAAAGTCAGTTTTATGAAAAAATAGATCTTCAACTTTAAAAATATCTAATAATTTCGTAACTAAGAAATCCCTAGCCTGTTAAACATTTTATAAAATTTACAAATCTATCAAACAAAAAAGTAATGGTTGGTAGTCTTATTAGACACAAATTTCAACTTTTTGTCGATATATATCTATAAATTTTAAAAAATGCCGAATAAATTAGAGACCCTATTAAACACAGAATTGAAAGTTCCAAAACTTATTATTAAACATTTTGTAAAGAACTTTAAAAATTGGACTAAACTTGTAATTTAACCAAAAACTTGTGAGAAACTGCATCAATTTACTTGAAATTTTCTCTACTAAATGTTTAGACAAAATTTCTCCCAGCATGAAAATCATAGATCCACCACAGCAGAAATAGTATAATTTAGCTCAGCCTTTTACAGTTCTTTATTGAGAAGAAAGGTGAACATATCAACAAAAGAAAGTGCTGCTTACCTTGGAAGAGAACAGTACAGGGGACATTCTTGAACAAATGCCATTGCTGGGTGAATCAACTGTCACCAAAACTTATTTCCCACCATTGATAACTCTTATGATACAATCGGAGGTTGGAGCTTCCACAAATGGAGCATCTTCATCTCATACATAATCTACACAACAAGTAGTGAAATCTAATTAAATTGACCATCAAACGAGGTTCGAGAGTATGCGGGGACAGAAAAGCCGAAAACAGTGCAGATGGTGATAGAACCCATGGCCCGATTGCTACCAAAATGACAAAATAAAGTAGGTGAGGGAGAGTTTTTAACTTGGACTTACTAGTTTTTTTCACGCGGTTAACAGGAACAGTGTTTTATGGAAACAAGGGCTGGTAAAGGAGCCCTGTGGTTTCTTGGAATCCCATCATGACATTGAGGTTCTGTATAGCTTGACCTGAAGCCCCCTTCACAAGATTATCAATCTGCTCATCGATCCATCAAGATCGTTATTAGGTACCGCATCTACAGGGACATGCATGTTTCAATGTTAATATATGAACTTGATCAACTTACAACAGAAACAATGATAGCCCTTCCTTGAATTCGATCAGGAAAGATGTTGAGGTGGCAATAATTAGATCCTCGAACATTATGAGTACGAGGGACGACTCCTTTCTCCAACACGCGCACGAATTCTTCTTCCTACAAGGAAACATGAATAAAAGATCAAACAAGTTAGCACTGAGTCTGCAGATTGGGAATAGTTATTCATACCTCATAGGTGACTTTTAAGTGTTGATGCAAATCCTCAGTTGTCACCCCTGGAGCCATTTCAACATATATAGTTGATTGCATACCTCGAATCTAGCACGCGAATAATAATACGCTCATTAAATTACTGCAAGTAAAAAAATGATCCCAAGATGAACCTTATTAGCACATCCAAGTGTAATAATTACCATTGGCATTAGGTGTGGTGTAAAACTGACGGTTACTTTCGATTTTGCAACATCGGATAGTCCCTGCTCAATTTCAGGAACTAAAAAGTAACGAAGAAAAAAGATTATTAGATCATGCAATCTGCTGAAAAGTACATCAATCATGATATTCCTAAACCTGTTTAAAGATCCAAGAGATAAAGAAGATAGGAAATGAATACCCCCGTGTCACAAGATCAAAATATCAACTATTTTACTGGCAGACGCTCATGTCAACGTGAAGTCCAGGAAAAGAAAACAAACAATCAGTTCTAATCTTACCAATTTTATAAGTAGATTTCAGAATAGTGATTATTCTCTCTAGATGTTTTTCACTGTGCTCAATAGATAATCAGTGTAGCATAGGTGATGCCGAGATGAAGGTATAACAAAATCAACAGTTCGCAGCACGATTAATTTGATCAGATAGCAGCCACTAGCATCTTAGTTGATATTTAGCTCTCCAAGAAAGTGACCTACTCCAGAACTAAGACCTTGTTCAATCACAATTTTGTTTCTAGTTCTCTGTTTTTAGAAGTTATGTTTCTTTCCTTGCAATTTCTTTGGTATGTTTTTTTATTTTTCTTAAAAACACATTTGAGTTCTTAGCCAAACTACTCAAACAAAACAAAATTTTTATAAACTACCTTTTTTAGTCCTACAAATTTTGCTTAGATTTTGAAAACATTAAAAAAAAAAGTAGAAAACAAATAAAGAAACGTATCAATGGAAATAGTGTTTATTAGCTTAATTTTCAAAAACATAAAACTGAAAAAGAAAAGGAAAACAAAATTATTATCAAGCTGAGCTTATTCTATTTCATTAGCTAAATGTCAAAGAGTAGAATGCAAAAAACTTGGAAAAAGATATGAGAAGTGCCTCTTCAAACTCACCATGACGATGACGGGTAATTCCATATGAATAAATGCCTTCAGCTATTTCAGTGTATAAATTTGCCTCCTTGGCACCACGTCCTACCGAGTGAACCAAGTTAATGAAGAAACAGTATAAGAGATTCAAGAGTTTATAACTAAAATATTTGGCAGAAAGTATAGATTGTAGATCCTGACCAGCTCCACTAACACCAGATTTAGAATCAATAATGATGCCCCCAAGTTGTACTAGATTAGCCTGAAAGAAAAATATTTGAGAGATATTTACAGGCTTGCAACAATAATTTCAGGATAGTTATCTTTTTTGCCAACATCTATTGTAAATATCATCTCACTGATGTTTTGATGTACTAGAGATAAAAGGAAGCATAATATTACAGAAGTACCTACATGAGATTCTTTTTTCCCCTGATATTATATATTAGTTTTGACTTAAAAAAATTTTAATACATCAGCCATGTATTTTTTAATAATGAAGAGAGATAAATGCAAGAAAAGAAACCATATAGCATTATTAGCTATGGCTGATGAAGTGATTGGCTTTGGAGCTAGACAGAAAATCTCATAGAATTGACCTCCAAAAGAAAAAAAAAAACCGTGCTCCCCGTGCCCTATTTTGAGTTTCTACTTTTGTTTTCAATTTTATGGAATTACTAATTTACATGAACGCTTTCCTAATGTATTCAGAACAGATAAACCGAATGTTTTTCCTGTACTTAGGATTCTATAAACATAGAAATATGGAAAAAAAAAAGATTGTCAATTTAGCATTCATTGAAATTCTCATGTGCAAATGAAATATTCAAGGGATAGACAGAAACCTTTATTAGGGGCACAAGAGGAAGTTGAATAGATGTTGGATAACAACCAGGATTGGCTACAAGGCGAGCACCCCTGACTTTATCCCTCAAAATCTCTGTCAAACCATACACAGCTTCTTTCTGAAACCAGTATGAAATATTTTTAACATTACAAATTCAGCATAATTTAATTTTAAGAGAAAAGTGAGAAATAAGTTTCAAAAAAATGCAAGGTTGACATCCTATCTTACCTCCAATTTACCTCCGAACAAAAATTTACAAACTTAACTTCCTAAAAATAACACAACCTTAGTTGCAGATTCAGCTGAAAAACACAGTATTAAGGCTTCGAAGGAAACATAAAAGGAAAATAAAAAAAAAAAGGAAAATGAACTATGGAAGAACATGGCCTTGTTAACACATGAAGGTTAACCAAACTGATTAGAAGAAGACCTAAGTAGGCGGGACAAGAAAAAATTAGCAGATTTGGAAATCAATGCTCTTGATCAACTAAAGAATCTCGTCACCCAACAGCATGGGTAAGCTCTTTTCCGTTTTATCACAGGGAGGAAATTTCTTTACTTGGTTTGTACTCGGCAAATATTTTAAAGTGCAAATATTTCCCAACTAAACCTTGTAGAGACCTCGCTTTGATGGAAAGGAAGTGTGATGTGTTCTCTTGGTTTTGGTTTAGATAGAAGACAGAAGTTTCCATGTTAACAATAAGGACTGTGAAGGTATATGGAATAGCAGAAGTGTTGCGTTCTCTCTTGGCATCACTCATAAAGGACTGTTTAGACATTTCTTGCCCCTTTCATCCTACTAAACTGGATGTCCAGCATGGGAAACTTGTAGTTCTCCTTCTTTTAGTGCATATAAGCCAATGAAAATTTTGCGTAGTTCAAATAAACATATACTAATAAGACACCTGCAAATCCACTGCTCTATGTGCCTGGCCGTACCACTCCTCGTACTTGGATGGATCTTGCAAGCGGAAGTCCTGAATAATCATTGAGCACAATTCATGAGAACAATTCATCATTTCATCCACAGAATGGAATAAAAGTACAACAAAAACACATTCACGCGTGCACAGAAATTATAAATTAACATACAGCTGAAAGATCGACAATCTTTAATTCCTTGGGAAGGGCTTTAATAACCTCCTGGGGAAAGAAAATACAAAGAAATGTGAATTGGGAATTCGAAAAGACTACATAATATTTGTGATACCAAGGGGAATCTCATAAGTAATTGTTAAATGAACTGAAATTCGACAATGACCTGAGTAGTTCCATGTGGCAAGCAGCAAAATATGGCATCCACCTCTGAAAAATCTGCATCTTTGATGGCTACCAAATCTGGAAGATCCTGTAAACAGCAACGAGTTCAGCCAACATAATTCCGCAGCAATTTATTAACACTATACCTTCAGAAGGTCCATCTCAAGCAACTTACTTTAAGAAACATAATGAAATTAACCATGACCACATCAAATAGAATCATGTTATAAAGAGGGTCATACTTGTGTGATTAGATGAGGAAATACTGATGAAAACGGTTGACCAGCTTTCCTATCAGCTGTCATGAGAGTAATGCCAAAGTGTGGATGATTTGCTAGAAGCCTAACAATCTGCAACAGTGATTATAAAAAAAAAACTTTATTTTGTAACTTGTAAGTTCCCTGTTTTTATGTCACATCATTCCAAAATGCCTGCTTTGGCCTCGGCAAGTAAATTTCTTCCAGAAGTGATACTTAAGTTCAAGGCTAGAGAAAGCTACCTCCGAACCAGTGTAGCCACTGGCTCCAAGAACACCAATGCGAACTTGCGGTTGCGGCTTTTGAGCTTTAGTGCTCACTGAACATTTAACAAACACCTTACCTTCATTTCTCTTTTTAAGCTTCCAAAGCCTTGATTCATCCTGCAAAACAACCCAGCACAACAAAATTTACAGAAGGGAACAGAGGAAAGCCTCTCTCAGCTCACATTTTTGGAACTTTCACACAGTTCCACTTGCCACCATGGAAACGAAAACTCGTTCCTCTTCAAGTTGCGTCTTCGAAGAAGAACACAAAAACGAAGAAGAACCAAAAGGGACTCTCTCGGTTACTTTGACACTTCAAAATCGTCTATAACTTAGTAATAAACCCAACATTTTCTGGGTCATCAAACAAAAAGCACCACAAGTCCAAACCTTGAGGAAACAAGAAACAGAACTGAAGGCTGAAGACGCCATCTTCCACTCGACAGTTCTTCAGGCAGCCCCTGCAAATTTTGACGAAAGGGTATAAAGTTTTAAGAAATCACTGAAAATGCCCATTCGAATGCGATAATATGGGGACAATGAGCACTCAAAACTTTGATTACGAGATGCTGATGCGATGCTGAAAAACTTTCCGCTGTTCTTCCAGACGATTGAATTGAAAAAATGGAAATGGGCTTTCTGTGGGGTTAGCTTGGGTATAACTCCATGTCGTGAACGTCCGAGACAAATTTCGATCATATGGTTTTTTTCTCTTTCTTTTTTGATACACTCGATGTCGTGAACGTCCAAGTTCTTCCATTATTTTTCCTTCTTTTTTCTTCTAATTCTTCTTCTTTTTTCTTTTTTTTTTTTCAATTATNTATTGTAGTCAATTGGGGCGTCCTAGGGTTTTTGAGAAATGCAATTTGGATTAAATGTATTGTACAATTTGGAAATTTTTAAATGTGTACAATTTTTCTAGGTAAAACTTCAACATCTCTCTTTTTTTTAGTTCGGAGATGGCTAATCGAATATTTGTCTGATAGATTGAATTTAAGATACGTTTATCATGTCATATAAATGAATTTAAGCTTAATTACTATTTCTCTTAAAAATTATAAATTTGAATCCTTACTTTCGTATTTGTGATGTAATATTCTTAAATTTTCATCAATATTTTTTTGTTTTATGAATTTAACAATAGATGAAAGTGAGAATTCGAACCCTAATAGTTATAATATCTTAACAAGTTGTCTCCACTTCATGCAATATTAACAGAGTCTTTTAGGGGTTATATAAATTGTATACAAAGTTTATAAATAAAAACACAAGTTAAAAAAATGATTGTTTTCAATTTGTTTTTTAAACTGACATAAAAGTAATTGTTTTTATTTTTAAAAAACTAACTTTCAAGTAAAACTTTAATTTTTTAATTCGGAATCTAGAAACATATATTAAACACTTTCTGTGTTTATACTTTATTCTTCAAAATAAAAATACAAAAACAAAAAGTTAAAAAAAAAAAAAGAAATGAGAAATAAAAATAAGAATATTATCAAATAGGTCTTTCATCAACTTTCTCCATCAAACTTACAATATGAAAAAGTATCTATACATGTCCTAAAACTCGATCTTTCAAGATTATACATAGCTCAAGTAGATAAAACTTGCACTTTATGTGATCAAAAGAAGATGGTTTAATCCTCCATTTTTACAATTTTAAAATCTATCAAGTATCCAAATCTCCCCCAATTAAGTTAATGTGTTCACGGATTGGGTGGAGTCGGGTTATGAGGGGTTTTGGGATCAATCCGAATTTTTGGGTTGACAATATATACGAATCATCAGGTTTGAATTGGATGGTCAACCCAACCCAAAATTGGTTTTTTTTATTCTTAATTTTTAATTATTACGACGATTGAGGGTTAGGATTAAAACTAAATGGACGGTTGATATTGAGGATATATATATATATATACATATAATTAAAAAATACACGTATATGCATAAATTCGGGTTGTGTTGGATTGACCCGATTTTTTAAAGGTTGAATCTGAGAACCAACACAACCCGATCGAGTTGGAAAAATCACAACCCAACCCAATCCGAAGCTTCATCTAACCCAACCCAACCCGAGGCTTCATCTAACCCAACCCAACCCTTACAATTTAGGTTGGTTTCGTCAGGTTCATCGGATTGTTGAATTTTTTGAACACCCCGCAATTAAACTTTGTAGACAATACGGTTATACATTCACTAAAAAAATATTGATACATATGTTTAAGTGAAAATTCCTGAAAAGCCCCGGAAGGCAGTGTCCTTTGATTGTATTGAAAGGTCATTTGCTTCTTATATTTTTGTTTTTCAGGAGGAAAAAAACGGTCGTTTTTGGAATTTATTAAATAAAATTGTTTTAGACTTTTTTTTTTTTTTTTAACTAAAAATTTGTTTAGATCATTTATGCAGGAAAAGGAAAGTATATAGGGGTAGATTGGGACAAAACGTATATAACACGTGGTTTTTGCCTTTTCCATAAGTTTTTATAATTCTATGTCCTCCCTTTCAATACACATGCATTATCTCTGGCTCGATTTTACGTTTTTGTTTTACTTTTTTGTAATTTTTCTCTCGTACATTTGAAGCTATCTTCATAGCTATCGAGGTTATATAAGTAAAAAGGTAACATATAAACTTTTTCAACGACGAGAAGAGTAAAGTTAAGGAGGGGAGGAGGAAGGGTGCATGTGGTTGCTCTCTTCGATCCATTTGAATTAGGAGATTATATATAAATATTTTGAGATTTCAAAATTTTCTCTCGTTCTTCTAAATTTTCAAAATGGAAAAGATTATATTAGTAAAAAGTTACATGAAAATTTCTGATTCTTTACTTGTGAAACTATATGTACAGCTAGACTTCAAATGGATAATAGATACCACATGAATTTTTAAGCATATTATACATTTTAAATTTAATTTATATATTGGTGTGTTTCTTCAATTTAGTTTATATTGTTTTAAAAGTTCAATTTTAATAATTTACGTTATGTGTTTTTTTGTCCTAAATCCTAATTATCCCTAATAAACGGTTGGAGCTAGTAAGAGGTAGGCACGAAATATAATTGACCAATAGTAGTTGGTCGAAGCTTCCAATGCGTAGCCACGCACCCCCTTCACAAGAAACATCATACGTGAGACTTTTGCATCACATGCTTCTATCCCAAACTTTGATCGTTAGCCCTTGTCATAGACAATAAGGAAAAAGGTACGACACGTTTATTATTGGTTTAAGATAAAAGAAATTATACATAAATGCATCCTTAAAAAGGGAGGTTTCAAATGGACTATGGATTAGATCTTTTGGGCCTAGTCCAATTGATTGCCCTGTAATCTGTGGGCCTAACCCAAATTTTAAAGTAGTGATCTGTTTTAAATCTGAAGGGTGACAGGTTGGGCTTCGCAAACAAATCCTGAACTCGAGTCGAACTTAGACCAACTCCAACTCCAAGAGTGTGTTTGAGATGACTTCTAAAAGTGTTTAGGAAAGATTAAATATGGTTTTTTTAATTGACACATTTTTTTTAATTAATTAATCAGAAGTAGTTTGAAATATTATAAAAATATATATAATTAAAAATAAGTTAAATATATATTTTAGTCCTTAATATTTAGAAGTATTTTCAATTTAGTCTTTATTGTTTAAAAATGGATGGATGTTAAAACTTGATTAATGATAAACTAAATTACGTGACATGACTTAGTGAATTTATGAAAATTTAGAAGTGAAAAAAAATCATTAAAAAAGAAACTCGAAATCTTTACCAATTTCTCAATAATTTGAATAATGAATTAGAAACTTTAACTATTTAGATGAATATTTTTTCTCTTTTAAACTTCGGCAAATTCACTAAATATTATAACATATAAATTTATCATCCGTTAATTTTGATATTTATAACGGTAAGAGACTAAATTGAAAAAGTTTAAAACACAACGGACTCAATTGAAAAAACATCAAAATATTAGATACTAAATATTTAAAAGTATTTTAAAAGTAAATTTAGATGAAGCATTAATGAGTTATCTTTCAAAAGGGTTCATTTAAAATACCTTTTTAAATGCATATCAGATTCGACCTAAATTTAGCTTAAACCAACTTTGAAATCTTAGACCATTTAATTAATTAGATAAAATATTGTATAATTTAATGGAGAACATGCGATGTGATTAATTACAAATTACCTAATGTGCTTCTTATTGCTTGCCCCCACCAAAATTATTCAGTTCTCTCTAGATTTTACTCAAATTATACAAATCCCACCCACCAACAACCTCCAAAAATCCTTTAAAAAAAATCCCTCCAAAATCTTAGAAGGTCAAAATTTCTTTTTACCATTCTAACTTTCAATTTTTTTTTTTTGAAATTTTAAAATATCTATTTTAGTCCCTTAACTTTAAAAAGTTAATCGTTTCGATCATTTTAAAATAAAAATTTTTAAAATTTGGAGACCAAAATGAAATAAAATTCAAAGTTTATAAACTAAAATAGATATTTTTAAATTCAAAGACTAAAATGAAACAATTTTGAATTGTCGGATAACAAAATAGAATTTAACCTATATTGTAAATATAAACCATGCATATAGAAAACTATATATAAAAGATAATGTCATGGGGTAAAACTAAATGCTACATATGGTCTTCCCCTCTTTGGAGTACACGTATATTGAAGCCTCAGCTAATACACTCCAAAGATAAGGAGGAGGGATTTGTGACAGACAAAACAAGTAGAGTCCGACTCTAGTTTGAGAAAGATTTTAATATGACATAGGAAATCTTCTGCACGAGTACAATTGAATGGTGGAAAACTTGTTGAACAACAAGTATGAACAGTTGCAACGTTAAATTAAGCCTAAATTTCTAATGCTATATTCCCCTCCTATAAAATGTAGAGTCACACCTTCTCAAATGTACACAATTTCTTGCATCCAAATTAAGCTCAACTCTAACACCGACAAACTTAGTTCTAAATTAAGTTTCAAAATGTACATGTTGAGTACTATATCGGTGTAAGTTTATGTCTTATAGGTGTCACAAGGAGCCACGTTGAGTCTACAGTAGCTAATATGTCTTCCTAATCAGAAACGGCGATCAAAAGTTAAAACAATAAATTAATAAATACATTTTTCTAGAACAATTAATAATGGAAAAAGAATTAGAATGGGTTGGGAATTGGAAAAAAATAGTCAATGATGAGGGTGAGTGGGACAAGAAATTGGAATCCAACGCCACTAAAAAGGTTGTCTCTTTTTTCAGTTTTTTAAGACACAGAATCTTTTTGCAATTACAAATTTCGCCCCCAATTGGGCCCCACTCTTCCCTTTAAGATTCCTTATCTCTAAAGTCTTAACCCCAATTTCTGACACTGACCCCACCCACGCGCCCCATCTCACGCGTGTCTTCACGCTCTCACAATCGCATCTATCCACTTTTCTTCTCTTCCCATTTCTCACGTTTTTGTCCCTTCAATTATTCACCAACATTTGTCTTTAAAAAATTCTTTTATTCACCAAATTAAACTATATAATGATTATCTCTTTGGTAATGTTTTTGCTCGTTTTCTCTTTTTCAACAGAAATATAATTGGTAACTATTTCTTATTTTTTATTCTAAAAATTAATTTTTAAATTAAATATTCAAACTTTTATTTTATATTTATTTTTTGATATTTAA